TGTAATGAAGAGAAAAGAAATGTTATAAAATAATATAAATGTAATTACAAGAAAAATTGTTAAAATGTAATAACAAATAAAAAACTAATCGAATAAAGTTCCAAAATCAACGTGGTCGTCTGTGAGATGCGGCTCAGACGTCTGGGCATTCTCAGCAGGGGCAGATGTCTGGTGGCCAGGTTGGGGGTGCTGGGAGGTCGAGGAGGAATCAAACTGTGGGATTGGAATGCTGGACCGAGCAAGGGATTCTAGAATCATAGACATCTGACCCTTAAGCTCGACCATCGTCGCTGTCAAAGCAGTCACCTCGTTTGACTGCGACGATGAACGGGGTATAGGTTCCCGCCGCCGGGCATTCCCCATCCCTCGACAATATGTCCCGGGCCTCCTCCCAAGAGTCTGATCCAACGTCTCCATCAAGATTTGAAACCCCGCATCCTGTGGAGGATGCACAGACTTGAGCGGAGTATCGGGAGGAAGTTGGGAGGCAGACTCCTGAAGAACCAACTGGCTCCTCTCCACCATCGTCGTTTGTTTAATTAAAATTACAGAATTAAAACATAAAATATTAAAATTAATTAAAACATTCATATATTAACCATGACACTTGAATGCGTATATAATAATTAAAATTAAAGAATACTTACATGAATGGACTCGGCTAACTCATTCCCAGGTCGAACATAAACGTCGCCAAAGACGTCGATCTCCGGGAATTTGGACCCCCCCTGAATTGAACAAGACAAGAAAAATGTTAGTACGAAAAATAGAAATTAATATTAATTACATATTCAAAATTGGATATAAAACTAATTTATTTTACCCGTCGTCTTGCGTCCATCCTATATGAGAAGGGCCTGGAACCTGAATGGTGGAGAAGAGTCTTCTTCTTCCTATTGCCCTTATTTACTGTGGCCTTATTCTGTTACACAAAAAATAAACCTATCAGTTGAAATTGAAATGAAATAGAAAAAATTAAATAAACATTAGTAAGAAACATGTAATAAGTTTGAACTTAATATAAAAATAAAAATACCACATATTCGGGTGCCAGAAAATGAGCGCAGAGCCACGCCCAACTATCTTCCCGGCCCTCAAGCTCCTTCGGGCAACCCTCTTGAAGAGCGACTTGCGGATCATCAAATGCCTGAAAATGGTGGTGCAAGTCGCTCTTCCACTGCTTGTACCTCTCACCAAAAAGTCTATTGACGTACGCCAATGACTCATCATTGAGGTCCTCTAACTTGTAGTTCGTCTGCAATAAATTCATTATAGACTAGGCATATAAATAAATAAAATTTGAAGGACAAACAAATAAAATGTAGGATACATACCGACAAATGTCCGCGCACCTCCATCTTGACCTCGTCAGGTATGACCTTCCAAGACTTCCATTGCATAGAGCAATGGGTCCGAACGACATGACCAATGTCGTGGGCCAAAGAGCTATGCAATTCCGCCGTCGAGGCTGCCCGACGCCGCTCGTCGTATTCGATGTTGATACGACTGTTGGTCACTCGGGTGACCTTCGCCGTCTTCAACTGTCGACACGGCCCCCGAGTGTTCTTCTTCGCTGCAAAGAAATATGAAATGAACGTTAAATAAATAAGATATGCAACTAGAAAATATTGGTCCAAAAGAACTGGAGGTGAAGGAAATCTTTACCGGGTTGTGACCCCGACCCAGCAGAAGCGTCTGTCGATATGGTGTCAGAGGTGCTGGGTGGGCGATGACGACGCCTGGCGCTAACAGGTTGCGCCACTGACGACGCTGATGACACCGGCGCATCGGACACCCTTGGACCAACTGGCAAGTGGTCCATCTCTGCTGGAGCTGTGGCAGCTGATGGCTGCGACGGGGGAGGCGAACTTTGTGCAGCCGACACCGCCTTACAACTTCTAATTAGGTTTGACATCTGCACAACGGAACAAGCAGGAACTAATTGAAGAACACAAAATATCCTAACCAACCTTCAGAATAAGCATATATATATTACATATCTAAATAATATAACAGATTTACATATCTATTTGCTTATGTATTAACCAGCCAAGCATTCATGTTCCCAGTTTAATAAGAAACCGCAATTGACAAACAAAATTAAAACCTAAACAAGAAATGAAACTAATAGGAAAACAAATTATCCTAATACATGCTCATGCATCAGAAAATGCGTAAAACCGTAATAAGAGAGAAAACTGAAAAAGTTTGCTAAATTGTACAACTAATAGCAGCAACCAATACATGCAGTTTAACAAAACTATAACCAGCATAATACCGTTCTACCATTTATGCACCAAAATGTAACCAGCAATGATAACCTTGAAGCAGCAGAAACAAAACCATTAATCATCATTCAAGAACTGAACAGCATAACACCGAAAAAAGAACCTAAAAACAATCCATCTAATAAGCAACACAGAATGCATAATCTGACACCAAGCAGCAAATGAATCACCTACAGAGAACCTAAAAACAGCCACTTAAACAGCAAAAGTCCCAATTTCCAGCAAAGCCCCAATCCCCCAATTAATCAACATTCACAATCACATCCACCAAAACCTAAACAATACATGCAAACCAACAACAGAACCTAAAAACAATCCAATTATTACAAAAGCCCTAATTAATTTCCATCAAATAACAGAACCTAAACAATACAGCGCAATTAAAAACGAATTCCTAAATAATTTCATGAAACCCAAATTTTAATTTCGACAAAAAAAACCCTTTTGTTCATTCAAAATTCAGATCCAGAGCAATTAGAGGAAGAGGAGATATACCTGATATTGAGATGCGAGAGTCAGCCTGAGAATCGAGCAATTTGACGAAGGGGATCGAATGAGAGGTCTGAGAGGGCTCGAATGAGAGAGCTCAGAGGGTGTGAGAGGGTTCGAAGGTTCGAAAGAGGGAACTGAGAGGGTTCGAAGTGAGAGGGTGAGAGGTCAGAGGGTTCGAAGCAGAGGGTGAGAGGCGAGAGGGTTCAGTATGAGAGGGTGAGAAGGTTCAACTTGGATTTAAACCTGATAGGGTTCGAGGGTTCGAAATCGAAGTTTAGGGTTCGAGGGTTCGAAGTCTGAGAGGGTTCGAGCTAGGGTTCGCCTATATTTTGGACATCTTGTGCGACGAAAAACAAAAATTCGTCGTGCAATGATGTTTTGCGCGACAGCAAAAATAATGGTGTCGCGCAAGGTAATATTTTAATCATCAAATTAACGACACCTGCGCGACGACATGACATTTCGTCGCACGATTCTCAGAACCTAAACCCTAAAATCGAAATCCTAAACCCTAAGCCGCCAAAAATTTCGACATCTTGTGCGACAAATGGTATTCATTGCGTAGCGCAAATATGCTACGTGCGATGATAATTTGTTTCGTCGCGCCAGATTATCAGAAATAAATCCTTAAACCCTAAACCCTAATGGGAAAATGTGGACAACTTGCGACGTAGAAAATAATTCCGTCGCGCAAATCTCTCGGAAAACCAAAATATTTTAGTTTTATTCAATTTCTGTAATTATTATTTTGTTTTTAGTATTATTTATTTTGTGAAGAATTAGTTTTAAATTTTTTTAATTTATTTATGAAATGACTGAATAAATAGTATTTAATTCTTTTATGGTCTTGAAAAACTATTTTAAATTTTCAAAAGTATTTTAAAAATAGTTTCTATTATTTAAAAATCCTGGAAACTTGTTTGAAGTAGGCAAAAATGGTGTAAAACTGTTTTAGTATTCCAACAATTTATTTTAGCCTCTAGAACCCAAAATTGAAGTCTCAAATTAAAAACTCTAACTTCTAAACTTGTTCCAACACCGCTCTCAAGTCTCGAACCCTAACTATAAGCCTACTCTAGGGCACTTGTGACGAGATTACGCTTGAATTCTTATTTTAACACTACGTCGAGCAACTTGATTACTTTTTTAGACTTCGACTATGCCAAATTTACTAAACCTAAATAGTTAATTTACGCATGTTATAATATGTGTATTTATTTATATCGCAATGTAACATTTTAACACGTAAATTAACCCAATGACACACTTCTAGGGTCTTCATAATATAATTTCATCATATTTGTTCTTTAAATGAAAAAGATTTATATACTTGGTTTGCGCGACGAAGAAGGTTACATTCGTGGCGCATATACATTTTGCGCGACGACGTAAGATATTTGTTGCGCAAAGTCATTTCATGCGCGACGTATGGCATTCATTTCGTCGCGCAAGAGTACATTTCCACGTCATAAGTAGCTATGCTTCATTGTTGCGCGACGAAAAAGGTAATTCGTCGCGCAAGTTATATTTGCGCCTTTCATGCGTGACGAAAATATCCCTTCGTCGCACAAACCATTAATCAAAACTCATTATGGGGGGAACATTGATATTTTGTGATATTTTGTTAATTATGGGGGGGAACATCGGTATTGCTTTTCTTTTTTCAAGCCTACTCCGATGTTAATTACAAAAAATAAAAAAATAACTTCTATCTCTCTAAAAATATAATATCATAATCTGATTCAACAAAATAGAAATTAAATGGGTAGTCATCATTCATTGGAAGGGAATTTGTAGCGAAATTAAAATTTGAATTTTGAAGTCAAAATAGAAATCTAATTCTTATATTCATAAATACCACTTAAATTCAAATAGTTAGATTCAATGTATATATTATATGATTAAATTTGTGATTAAAAAAGTCAAATTCAAATTGTGTGCAACTTGATTTTAATTTGTGATTGCCATCTTTACACTACCATAATTAAAATACACAAAATTTAATTTACTATTTACATGGGTAGTCACTAATAAATTGCATTATTCATCATCTGAACTATAATAACCTTCGTTATTGTCGGTATCATCACTTTCGGTTTCCCAATCCTCCTCCTCATCACTTTCGTAGTTCGGGCCCACTGGAACATCATATCGTGGAAGATCACCGAGGTCAATTGTAATTGACTGAATCGGTATTTCGATTGAAGACACTTCTTGAACCTAAAATGGTTCTTGTATAACATTTGTATCTCGAAGTGTTTCTGCATCATTTTCCATGGAAGACTCCAAACGTTGGTCAGTGACGTCGTTGTCAGTTGGGTCTAGTTCTGGTATAGCATACATGTTCCTCTGATCCATATGCTGAACAACTTTCCAACTGCTCCCGGTTTTAGGGTTATCTAGATACACAATCTGTTTTGCCATGTTTGCCAAAATGAAAGGGTCGTCATCATACCAAGTTCTGTTAATATTCACTGATACTAAGCCATGGTCGATTTTAACAATTCCTTGCCTATTTGGGTTTGTATCGAACCATCGACACTTAAACATGATCACTTGGTATCGATCTTTGTAAAGCAATTGCACGACCGTTGTCAGTTTGCCATAGAAATCAATGTCCGTACTTTCGCCTCCACCTGGGACATGGACACCGCTGTTTTGCGTACACAACTTGTCATCTCGTGTAGCCCCAAAAACTTGATGCCGTTAACATGGCAACCCGAGAACAATTCAGCCCGAATCGCGCCGAACTCCAAGCATACAACTTTTCACTCTAAGTGGAGGAATTCGATGATTTCAACTTGTTGGCCTAATATTGTACAAAAAACATTCACATGTTAATTTGAGAACATTAAATAATACAATATATACCTCAATTACAAAACACTTTTAACTTACAGTTTCCAAAAACCATTGTGGAAACAATTCACGGTATTTCGTGGCATACAAATGTGATGGATGTTCTCGCTTCATCATCTCTTCATGCTCATCTAAGTATGCCATTATCTCATCACAATTGTTCAGTACGAACTAGTGTGCTACCTCCATGTCATTTATGGAAAACGACTCTCCTCGTACAGGATCTCCAAATGGTCGTGCTCTTTGGGCAAAAACAGAAAATTTCTCATTTCTCACACCTCCGTCATTATTGTGTTGAGGACGATTGAATGCTGTGTCCACATCTTGTAAATACATTCCACAGAAAGTAAACGACTCATATTGAACCCAAGCCTCTATAATTGACCATTCGGGCTTCGCCCTGTTGCATACAGTTTTTTTCAGCTCCCCAAGCAGCCTGCGAAAATAAAACGATATGATACAAATAATGAGGATTATATACCTTTCAATTGGATAATGATGCATAAACAAATGATGAGGATTATATACCTTTCTATTGGATACATCCAACGATAGTTGACAGGACCAGCAAGCAATGCCTCTTCTGGCAAATGAACCATCACGTGGATCATACTTGTGAAGAAAGCTGGAGGGAATATCATCTCAAACTTGCATAGGACTTGGACAATGTCATGGCGCAATTGATGCATGTCCGTCTTTTGCAATGTTTTTGCCGTCAGTTGGGAAAAAATCTGGACAACAACATGATCGGCTTCACTACATCTTCCGGCAATAGGTGTCGAATACCCACAGGAAGTAAACGTTGCATAAACATATGACAGTCATGGCTCTTCAGTCCAGTAAATTTACCCCCGTCAACATTCACGCAACGCGCGATATTAGAAGCATACCAATCGGGAAACTTTACCGACAATACAAACTTTAGAAATTCTTTTTTGTCATTCGGTTTCATGGAAAAAATGCCAGATCCCTTCTAGCTTTATCACCGTCCCTGTTCATCCATAAACCTCTTCGTATGCCCATTCTTTCCAAATCAAGACGAGCTTTGATCGTGTCCTTTGTCTTGCCCTCGATGTCTAGAATCGTACCTATCAAAGTGTCAAACACATTTTTCTCAACATGCATAACGTCGAGATTGTGCCTCAATTTTAGTTTCGACCAATATGGGAGCTCAAAGAACATGGTCTTGTGCGTCCAGTTCATATGTGTAGAAGGTTTGGTCCGACTAACTGTTTTGCCAAACGGAGCAAAATCCAAACGGTTAAGCTGTTCTAAGATGTCATCACCAGACCATTCTCTAGGTTTAAGGTGAGGCTCTGTGTTCCCGTCGAACTCTTTATCATTTTCCCGCCATTCGTGGTCCCATGGCAACCATCTCCGATGACCAAGATAACAAACTTTTCCGGCATGCCAACTAGAAGTTACATCTTCCTTGCATACAGGGCATGCCATATAACCCTTTGTGCTCCACCCATAAACCATTGCATATACGGGAAAATCATTCACAGTCCACATCACTGCTGCCCGCAAAGTGAACATCTTCCCAATGGATTTATCGTACGTGCGCACACCGTTTGCCCATAAATCTTTGAGCTCATCAACTAACGGCCTAAAGTAAACATCGATTGACCTGCCAGGATCCTCAGTTATCAAAACAGTCAGCATCATGTACTCTTTTTTCATGCATTTCCAAGGCGGCAAATTATATGCAAATACGAAAATCGGCCAAGTGCTGTGGTGTTGGTTTAGAACCCCGTACGGATTGTATCCGTCAGTGCCAAGTCCCAATCTAACATTTCGAGGATCAGCAGCAAAGTCAGGGAACGTTCGATCGAACTCTTTCCATGCTTCCCCATCTGCAGGATGCCGCATCACATTGTCGTCTACTCGTTTTTCCTTATGCCATCTCATGTCTATGGCAGTATGCGTCGACATATACAATTGCTGCAGCCTAGGTTTCAGAGGCAGATAACGCATGACTTTTTGTGGGATCTTAGTCGTTCTATTATGAGATGTCATTTTGAACCTCGACTCATTGCATATAGGGCATGTATCCAATGTTTCATACTCTTTGTAGAATAACATGCAATTATTTTTGCAAGCGTGAATTTTTTCATAACCCAATCTAAGACCATTCAACACATTCTGCGCGTGTTTATGGTCTTTCGGCAAACAATTGTCCGTCAGAAGCATTTTCTTGAAACCCCTAAAAAGTAATCGAAACACAAGTTCGACATACGATATTTTATTTTTCCGTGCATTAGCTCCACAATGGCCGTGAGAACGGAAAAGCTCTTGCACCTCGGGTATAACTCTTAGTTGACATTTTTTAACAGTTTTTCATATTGTTCGAACTCTGCACTGTCCATTGGTGTAGACACGTCATCTTCCCCTTCCTGATTGATGTTCGTCGATGCAAATGGAAAAGCATCGTTGATAATATCCATCACTTGTTCATTATGATCCACAATAGGTTCAACATTGTCCACTCTTATGGTATTTGAAGACAAAGCATTGTCTAATTGTTCCCCGTGAAGGTTCCAAATGCTATATGTCTCAATCATTCCATTCCTTACTAAATGAAATCCAACATTTTCAATTGTCTCCCACAATGTGTTGTTACACCTCCTACAAGGACAACGGATTCTAGTTGCACTCGGGTTGTGTCTACATGCAAACTCAATGAAATCCTCGATTCCATCCAAGTATTCGTCTGAGTATCTATTCGGGTTCTGTATCCACAGCCTGCTCATAATTCCTGGAACCACAATCACAACACAACAATCACAAAAACTTCATACGAAGTTATAATGTCACCTTATGCCTCCGGTAAGGGTCCTATCCCATTCGGGAATGCATAGTCCTGTCACGTAACCTACGGCTACATGAGATTAGATTTCGACGTGGAAGAATTTCGGCAGCATCTCGAGTTCTTGAGGCTGGCATAGGTATAAATACCTACGTACCACTCGAAGAACGTACCGAGATGACACCGAAATTTCCACAATCGAAACCTAGTCCTGTATCCGTAGATTACGTGACAACACTATGCATTACCAAATTGTCCAAATAATTGGACAATTCAAGAATTAATTGGACCGCAATCATGCATTACGCATCCATGCACGAAATCCAACTAATCTCGAATGAGAAACTAAGTTTTAATACAATAAAAAACAAAGTACGAAGTTAATTTCAATTAACTTCGTACATCACAACACATTGTGCTACGTAACGGACAATTTAACAACATAATATAAATATAATTTCACAACAAAAAATATTAAAATAATAAAATACCTTCTCAATCGTTTTCCACCAATCGCAAATTACAATTATCCCTAAAGACAACGAAATTAATTGCGTTAGTGTGAATTTAAATTAATACTTTCAAACTAACGACTACAAATACATACCTAATGACCGTAGTCAACTCCCAGCATAAGCAGAAGCTGCAGCAGATCTAGAGGCAGGCAGAGCAGAGTTTTTTTTTATTTTTTGAAGTCTGCCTATGCAATGGCAGAAACCAGTATATGAACAAGAAGAGTTTTGCGCGACGAAGACATTATTCGTCGCGCAAAAAACAAAAAATTTCGTCGCGCAAATTTTTTTTTCGTCCCACAACTTCGTGCCGACATCCAGGTTTTTGCGCGACGCAAAAGTCTTTCGTCGCGCAAAGTGTCGTCGCTGTTATTGTCGCGCAAAATTAAGAAGCTGTCGCGCAAGGTATGAGCCCAATTTCTTGCGCGACGACGATCCTTATCGTCGCGCAAAAGTTTCTTTTGCGATGATTCTGGTTGTCGCGCAAGTGTTTGTCGTCAAAGATCAATTTTGGCGGTTGTTATATAACTTTACGTGACCAAAATATTTTTCGTCGCACTAATTTGTTTTGCGCGACGACTTTGTTGTCGCGCAAGGTTTTGGCGCCATAAAAACTTTCCCGCGTTTTTTTCCTCCCTTTGCGCGACGAGAGGATTTTGCGTCGCGCAAAGTTTTCTTGCGTGACAGATTCAATTTGTTGCACAAATTTTTCACAGTTCGCGCGATGAATGTGTTTTTCCGACACATATTTATCTCTTGCGCAATGAATATTACTTCGTTGCGCAAATAGGAAAACGTAGTAGTGAGATTACATCATACAATACTTAAAAAGGAATGTAATCCTATGTGGCACAAAAGTCAAAGGACTTGTATCAAAGTCACAAAATCCGAGGATTAAACCCGACTTCTGGATGGGAATTTGGATATATATCAACTTTTCTATTATCTAAAAGCATTTCCAAACTAGCCATGCTTAGCTAAGACTCTTTTCATACATTATGATTTGCTCCAATTGTACCTCCATAGACGTCGGGTGAATGATGATTTGCGCCAATTATGCCTCCATGACTTACTATTATGCCTTCATGACTTACTATGCGTCAATTTTCCACAAACAAAACAAAATATCAACTTAATAGTATTCGGCTACGTACGTGCCTGGAAATTTCGCTGCCTTCCCAATTCCGCTAATAACATGAACACTGTGTTCACATGCAAACACGCTGATCATCTTCTATATAAACCCACGATCGTATGCTTTGCTTCTTCACACCTAGCTAAGCTTTCCAATATCACTACTTAAAACCTAAGCCAATATTCCTTTGCGAACAATGGCTTTTGAGAAAAACCTTGTGGTCATCAATAATTTGGCAGGGAAGGCATCAATAATTTGCTCAACCACAAATACACACATCATCATCCCTTTAGAGTCTACCATTTGCAATAAAAGGAACGTTGGAAGCTTGCATTGCACCACCACCAGTTTTGCAAATCTGAGTTAGACAGCAACTGCAACGATTCAGGATTCTTGAACATCAAATTCACATCAAGGACTGGATTGTTCTAGTAGCTCGATGTGAAAGTTTGATGACCAAATTAATCCACAATTCTAGACGAACACGGTATCGAATTAAGGATTGGGGATTTGAAAAACTTGGTAGAGTTTTTTGTCATATCTCAAAAATTAATGAAGATGACAATAAGTAAAGCTTGGCTGCATGCATGCTGAGCCCCACCTGGATTTGGAGTTCTTCGCATACAAATTGTTAGAACTTGGCTGCATGCTCAAGTTGGACTTCTTAATTTTCCACAAGACAACATATCAATTCCTGACTAACCAATGCTTGGCTGCATGCATGCTGATCATCTTCTATTCCTGCCCCACTGCTAGTCTTACAAATCTGAGTTACACGGTATATTAATTAGCATCCTTACTTGAACATCAAATTCACGTCAGGGATTGGATTATTCTGGCTCGATTTTCAAAATTTTAAAACTCTGGTCACTTAATTTTATTTGAAAAATGCTTTTGTAGAAAGTATATAGAATATTTGTTTAGGAAGCACTTCTGATGATAAATATTTTTATTATAAGCATATGTAAATTTTATTAAAAATTCAAGTGCTTTATCTTTATGGTTGAAAAAAGTAATTGGAACTACTTTTATAGGCAATTAGCACTTTTTTTTAAATTTTATTTATTTAATGTCGAACAACGCAAAAACGCGCTTTTGTTTGATTACCAAAAAGAATTTCCAAACTGGCCATGCTTAGCTAAGACTCTTTTCATACATTATGATTTGCTCCAATTGCACCTCCATAGACGTCGGGTGAATGATGATTTGCGCCAATTATGCCTCCATGACTTACTATTATGCCTTCATGACTTACTATGCGTCAATTTTCCACAAACAAAACAAAATATCAACTTAATAGTATTCGGCTACGTACGTGCCTGGAAATTTCGCTGCCTTCCCAATTCCGCTAATAACATGAACACTGTGTTCACATGCAAACACGCTGATCATCTTCTATATAAACCCACGATCGTATGCTTTGCTTCTTCACACCTAGCTAAGCTTTCCAATATCACTACTTAAAACCTAAGCCAATATTCCCTTGCGAACAATGGCTTTTGAGAAAAACCTTGTGGTCATTGCCATATTCATCGTCTTGGGGACTTTGGCATCTCAAGCCACATCCCGCACACTGTCCGAAGCTTCCTTTGCTGCAAAACATGATCAATGGATGACAAAGTATGACCGTGTTTATGAGGACAATGCAGAGAAGGAAAGGCGTTTCGCCATATTCAAGAAGAACTTGCAGTTTGTGGAGAAGTTCAACTCTGAAGGGAACAAGACTTACAAGTTAGGACTGAATGAACATTCTGATTTGAGCGATGAAGAATTCCTCCGGCAGCGTACTGGATACAAAAGGGCCACTGAATTAACCTCATCCGCAAACATATCTTTCAGGTACAAAGACCTCAGCCCGACTGATGTTCCGCCTAGCATTGACTGGAGGGAGAAAGGAGCTGTCACCCCCATAAAGAATCAATTAAACTGTGGTAATTAAGAGATCCACCTTCCTTATATTAATTACCTTCTTAACTCATCCATATTCTTTACTAAGTATTGATGTTTTTGTTTTTGTATTATATATGTAGGCTGTTGCTGGGCATTTTCTACAGTGGCAGCAGTGGAAGGGATTAACCAAATCAAAACTGGGGAACTGATCTCACTGTCCGAGCAACAACTTCTGGACTGTACCAGCGACTATGGCAACCAAGGCTGCGATGGTGGTCTCATGACTAATTCCTTTAAATACATCCAAGAAAACGGAGGAATTGCCAGCGAAGAAAACTACCCGTACCAGGCTGTGAATGGAACATGTAACGCTAATCAGCCTGCTGTCCAGATCACTGGTTATGAACAGGTGCCTGCCAATAGTGAAGAAGACCTACTCAAGGCTGTGTCCAGGCAGCCAGTCTCAATAACCATCGATAGTTCCGGGGCGGAGTTTAAGAATTACCAAAGTGGGGTCTTCTCGCCCACAGATTGTGGGACGAAAACGACCCATGCTGTTACCGTCGTTGGGTACGGGATGACTGAGGACGGCATTAAGTATTGGTTACTCAAGAATCAATGGGGTGAAAGCTGGGGTGAAAATGGCTATATGAAAATTCTTAGGGATGCTGGTGCCCCAGAAGGTGTCTGTGGCCTTGCTCAGTATGCTTCCTATCCGGCTGCATAATCTATATATATTTATATAGGCTATTATGGAATCCATATCGAAGTGAATGTATTATCAATGGCTGTGAAAATGCCTATATGGTTTAATGTTCTCTATAATTCCTCTACTTGATGAAATTGAGACTCAAGAACTAATAACATGGGTTACTACTTGTACTCCTATTCATTCCGCCAAACTGCCCAAAGTCTTATTATGCATAAATTACGATGGATTACAGGACCGACGACCTCAAAAGTCTCATTGGTCTTTGCCGAATAGAAAAAAATAACAAATCAAGTCTCATTGAGGAAATGGCTATATGAAAACGACCCATGCTGTTACCGTCGTTGGGTACGGGATGACTGAGGACGGCATTAAGTATTGGTTACTCAAGAATCAATGGGGTGAGAGCTGGGGTGAAAATGGCTATATGAAAATTCTTAGGCTATAGAATCCGACTGGCTAGCTATCCGACTGCGTAATCTATATATATTTATATAGGCTATAGAATCCATATCTAAGTGAGTGTATTATCATTAATGATTGGCTGTGAAAATGCCCGTATCGGCTTAATACATGCAATTAGTCGCCAGGTTTCTCTGGAGCCCTTGTTAAAAGTGTGTTTTTGTGTCCTTTTACTTAGTAATCTATGTATGTAGTGCATTAGATTGATACAGTACGTAATATGTAATGCGATAAATAACACTACTGCATAAGTTGGTATTCAAAAATTGGTGTATAATGTAATAAGTCCACAACAAATATTTATAAATTCATCAAACATCAGTCATGATACTAGTTTTTTTTTCTTTTCTACACACATCATCATCCCTTTAGAGGCCTACCATTTGCAACAAAATGAACGTTGGAAGCTTGCATTGCAGCACCACTAGTTTTGCAAATCTGAGTTAGACAGCAACTGCAACGATTTAGCATTCTTGAACATCAAATTCACATCAAGGACTGGATTGTGCTAGCTCCATGTGAAAGTTTGATGACCAAATTAATCCACAATTCTAGACCAACACGGTAGCGAATTAAGAATTCAGAAATTGTTAGGACTTGGCTGCATGCTCAAGTTGGACTTCTTAATTTTCCACAAGACAACATATCAACTTCTAGAAGGAACGTGCCTGAAATTTAGTTCCCTTCCCAATTCGGCCACTTACATCATCACTGTGTGCAGTGCACATGCAAACATATGCTGATCACCTTCTATATAAACCCTCGATACTATTTGCCTGGACAAATATTGTATAATTTTGTTTTATTATTTGCTGTTTGAGTTGACTCATCATGCTCACTCGGCTTAGAAGACTATAGTCGTCCTTAATTATCTCGAATAAGTAGTAGGAGGGACCGGGACTAGGGCCAGGGCCAGACCAGCCAGGCTTTGTGAATTATGTATGTTAGCTTATTGTCATGTCATTATTCAATGTTTGATGATAGTTTGTTTGTACGATGATGTTGCATATGTTGGTAGGTACGGCTTTCTTCTTGTTGAAAATAACTAAGAAAAACAAGGGATAAAGAAGGCTAATATGGAAAAGTATGGCTCGACTGATTCCACCGACCTAGCAATGCACTGAAGACAGTGACCCATACCAGAGCCTGGATGGAACTTCTGGTCATGAAGAGAGGTGCCTCCCAATAGCGAAATCGACCTACTCAAGGCTGTATCCGCACAACCTGCAGTTTCCGTTGCCATTGCCGCCACAGGAGAAGCCTCTCGGCATGAGGATGCCCCAGAAGGTGTTTGTGGCCTTGCTCAGAAAGCTTTCCATCAACAAGGCTTTCTGAATTATATGCTTATTGTCATGTAACTATAAAATCTTGTCGACTTCACCTATAGCTGTAGACCGAACCCAAGACTACCAGATTCTCCTTTTTCATATTTATGCAGAATTACTATTATTGGTTGTGAAAATGCCCCATCTTGTACTAGCTAATGTACTCTTGACAAGATCTGCACATACGTGTGAAGTGTAACAACAAAACAATATGGCATTACAAGCAATCACCAGGTTTTTGGAGCCCTATTAAGAGTGAGCCTTCCATTTGGGTTCTGATACATTTATTGGCATAACTAAGAATGAATTCAGACAACAAAATTAACAGGACACAGTGAATATGCAAAATGGGCTCGGACAAACAAAAGCCTTTCTGATTGAAACAATACAGAAGGGATATCATGTGAAATAAGTTTGAAATTCTGCCAACGTTCACAAGAACCAGCTAGTAGACATCATTACATTTCATTTCATTTCATTTACCTGATAAACTAAATGCGAAAAAGACACAATCAGGCACGTTTTCCACTGTTGGGATTGGTCTTCGTGCAGAGGATCTTCCGTCCCTTAGCACGTCGGCGCTTCAACATTGCTCTACCACCAGTGGTTCTCATGCGTCTGCGGAAGCCATGAGTTCGAGCCAAAGATTTCCGGGACCTATTTCTCTTGGTTAGACACAGAGCAGCCTTCCCAGCCCTCACCACTAAGCCAGAGCCTCTTCTTCTTCCAACCCCAATAGTAGAACTCAAATCCAACCCAAGAGATAAACCTTCAAGTTGAAAAAAATCAATTTTAGATCAAGGCCTTTCCTAGGAGGAAAATGACATAGTATTATCATTTATAATCACTACATTACAAATGCAATATTGGTATCCTGAGAGACCAACAAAGTACTCATATATTCATCTAGAAAAACCTACCAAAATATCTAACCATTCCTTTCTCTAATTCACTAAGCTGCATGGCATATTTTGATTGCCAATTGAAGTACTTATGTTGCTTTACTAAGCAAAACTGCTCTAATTTTAAGCCTATAAGCAAGAAACTTCCGTTCATGAAGCTTAGAGTGTCTGACCAAACCAAAATCAACAAAATTTCAAACAAACAGAGGAATGCCAATGTTTGTCCAAATTCATAAACTAAGAAGACCCATCACAAGTTAGGACACAAAAAATCCCACAATTTGAACTTAAGAGAGAAATTTCAACAAAAAATCCCACAAAAAATCCCACAATTGGATTATTCTGGCTCGATTTTCAAAATTTTACGACCAACATCAATCCACAATTCCACATGAGCACGGTAGAGAATTAAGGATATTGCAGACTGCTGGAAAGACTTGAGAGAGTTTCAGTCATGTCGCAAATTAAGGCTGAAACTCCTTCAGCAATTGGTACTGTGTTAGGATCGGTTAGTAGTACCAGAATGGGAATTCACAAACTCAACCAACAATAAATAATATAATATATTAGTAAATTTAGCTTAATCCCTTCAAAGTCATTTTTCCTCAACTACAATCCATCTCTTTATTTTTTTTTTTAGGGCTTGTCCAATATAGATCCATACATTTTCTATTTCCTAGACATATACCCATCACTCTATAAATCTATGTGTAAAACCCAATTTCAAATTTAAATGACCAGTAGAATATAAGAGGTCGTAGTATTTCTATGTTTTTACATCGTTGCCACTAAACTTCATATTTTATTTATAATTTATTTCAAGCATTTCATTAACTGTCATAATTGTAATTAATATACTCCCTATTAATAGCATATCAATCACCCCATTTCTTATAGTTGTCATTCCCTCTCACATCTCGCCCCCAAAAATTGCAAACAAAAAAAAATCTGTAAATTACATATCCAATAATGTACTTATGAAAATTATAATATAAATATATACATATAAAATATAGGTATCCAATAAATTACATATCCAATAATGTACCTATGAAAAATAGGTACATTATTAGAGGAAAAAAATAGGTAAGTTATTTGGAGAGAGAAAATAGGTTCATTTAAAAAAATTACTTTTAATAAAACAAATAATAGGTACTTTATTCAGAGAAAAAAGGCTATATTATTTATAGAAAAAAAATAAATTACATTATTTATAAAAAATAGGTACATTATTTAGATAAATAATAGGTACTTTATTCGTAGTAGGTATATTATTCAAATGGTAGGTACATTGGATGACATATAATACCTAAATCCTAATTGTAAGTACATTAAAATTAATGTAGGTATATTGGATGTTGTATAATGTAGGTATATTGGAATAGATAATTATGTACACTTTTCATACTAGGTAAATTATATTTTTCATAAAACAAACAAGTAATAGGTACATTATTTTTTCAACATAATTAGTATGTATAGTTTTATTCATAAACAATTATAAAGTGGATTATTAGTCATGTATAATTCATAAAAAGAAAATAACATAAACATTTTATTAAACAAACCGATTACCCAAATTTGAATTTATTGTTAAATTTTTTTTAAAAATGTTTCAAAATTAATTCCTACATCCATTACAACCATTTGGAGATCTTTCCAAATTCAACATCTGTCATTATATACAATTCAATTAAAAACTGTTTCCATATTGATTCATACATTAATATACAAAATGCAATAATGGCTTAGTTGGGGGTATTTTTGGAATCTAAAAAGTACAATAAATCAGATTTTATGCTTAATTAGGTAACTTGCTGAGTTGAATCCTAGTCATGGGTTTTTACTTATACAAATTGGGTATTATTTATAGGAACAAAAAGTGAAGGGTTTTAGGTACGGCAAATTGAATTTGAAGGGTGTAAGCCAAATTTACTATTTTTTTTATAGGTACATTATTTATTGGGTATGTAATTTAGGGTAGGACAAATCTATCTTAAGATGGACATTTCTCACACATACAATCAAGATGTCTTGAGGATTCGAACTTGAGACGTCCACTTGTCTACAAATGAAGGCCATTTTTCACTAAATTAGACACATTTGCTTAAATTTGAGTTTTAAGTAAATGTTTACAAGTATGTGGGTTTATATCTAGAATATAATAGTTGTAAGGGTCAACATTGAATACTGTGTTCACATGCAAAACAAAACAAAATATCAACATAATAGTATTCGGCTACGTACGTGACTGGAAATTTCGCTGCCTTCCCAATTCGTCTAATAACATGAACAATGTGTTCACATGCAAACACGCTGATCATCTTCTATATAAACCCACGATCGTATGCTTTGCTTCTTCACACCTAGCTAAGCTTTCCAATATCACTACTTAAAACCTAAGCCAATATTCCTTTGCGAACAATGGCTTTTGAGAAAAACCTTGTGGTCATTGCCATATTCATCGTCTTAGGGACTTTGGCATCTCAAGCCACATCCCGCACACTGTCCGAAGCTTCCTTTGCTGCAAAACATGATCAATGGATGACAAAGTATGACCGTGTTTATGAGGACAATGCAGAGAAGGAAAGGCGTTTCGCCATATTCAAGAAGAACTTGCAGTTTGTGGAGAAGTTCAACTCTGAAGGGAACAAGACTTACAAGTTAGGACTGAATGAACATTCTGATTTGAGCGATGAAGAATTCCTCCGGCAGCGTACTGGATACAAAAGGGCCACTGAATCAACCTCATCCGCAAACATATCTTTCAGGTACAAAGACCTCAGCCCGACTGATGTTCCGCCTAGCATTGACTGGAGGGAGAAAGGAGCTGTCACCCCCATAAAGAATCAATTACGCTGTGGTAATTAAGAGATCCACCTTCCTTATATTAATTACCTTCTTAACTCATCCATATTCTTTACTAAGTATTGATGTTTTTGTTTTTTTATTATATATGTAGGCTGTTGCTGGGCATTTTCTGCAGTAGCAGCAGTGGAAGGGATTATCCAAATCAAAACTGGGAAACTGATCTCACTGTCCGAGCAACAACTTCTGGACTGTACCAGCAGCTATGGCAACCTTGGCTGCGGTGGTGGTTACATGACTAGTTCCTTTGAATACATCCAACAAAACGGAGGAATTGCCAGCGAAGAAAACTACCCGTACCAGGGTGCGCAGGGAATATGTAACGCTAATCAGCCTGCTGTCCAGATCACTGGTTATGAACAGGTGCCTGCCAATAGTGAAGAAGACCTACTCAAGGCTGTGTCCAGGCAGCCAGTCTCAATAACCATCGATAGTTCCGGGGCGGAGTTTATGAATTACCAAAGTGGGGTCTTCTCGCCCACAGATTGTGGGACGAAAACGACCCATGCTGTTACTGTCGTTGGGTACGGGACGACTGAGGACGGCAGTAAGTATTGGTTACTCAAGAATCAATGGGGTGAGAGCTGGGGTGAAAATGGCTATATGAAAATTCTTAGGGATGCTGGTGCCCCAAAAGGTGTCTGTGGCCTTGCTCGGCTGGCTAGCTATCCCACTGCATAATCTATAGATATTTATAAGGATGCCCCAGAAGGTGTTTGTGGCCTTGCTCAGAAAGCTTTCCATCAACAAGGCTTTCTGAATTATATGCTTATTGTCATGTAACTATAAAATCTTGTCGACTTCACCTATAGCTGTAGACCGAACCCAAGACTACCAGATTCTCCTTTTTCATATTTATGCAGAATTACTATTATTGGTTGTGAAAATGCCCCATCTTGTACTAGCTAATGTACTCTGTGACAAGATCTGCACATATACGTGTGAAGTGTAACAACAAAACAATATGGCATTACAAGCAATCACCAGGTTTTTGGAGTGAGCCTTCCATTTGGGTTCTGACACATTTATTGGCATAACTAAGAAAGAATTCAGACAACAAAATTAACAGGACACAGTGAATATGCAAAATGGGCTCGGACAAACAAAAGCCTTTCTGATTGAAACAATACAGAAGGGATATCATGTGAAATAAGTTTGAAATTCTGCCAATGTTCACAAGAACCAGCTATTAGACATCATTACATTTCATTTACCTGATAAACTGAATACGAAAAAGATACAATCAGGCACGTTTTCCACTGTTGGGATTGGGGGTGTGGGCTTCCCAAGCCAACTGCCGCACATTGCTTGATGCTCATACTTCCATGTTAGATAGACATGAAAGTGGATGGCTCGATATGTACGCATCTACAAGGACGATGAAGAGAGGGAAAAGCGTTTCCAGATATTCAAGGACAATGTGGAGTTCATAGAGTCCTTCAACTATGCTAGCAATCAGCCTTACAAGCTAAACATCAATGGATTTGCAGACCAGAGTCATGAAGAATTCCAAGCCTCACGCAGCCGATACAGAACATCCCTCAATCCCATGTCATCTAAGACACTTTTAAATATGAGAACGTGACTGCAATCCCATCCAGCATGGATTGGAGAAAAAAGGGAGCTGTCACCCCCATCAAGGACCAGGGTGAATGTGGTAATTAGCCAAAATCACTAATACCCTCATCATAATTTTTGTTTTCAACTATGTGGTTCACATTAATCTTTTCTAACTCGGGCTTGTATTGTGATATGGTATATAGGATGCTGTTGGGCATTTTCTGCAGTGGCAGCCACAGAAGGCACTACAAAGCTGAAAAGTGGGAAGCTCGTGTCTCTTTCGGAGCAAGAGCTAGTGGATTGCGACACTCAGGGTGAGAACCAAGGCTGTGAGGGTGGTCTCATGGATGATGCCTTTAAGTTTGTAATGCGCAACAAAGGCCTGGCAGCTGAAGCAAACTACCCCTATAGAGGAGTTGATGGAATTTGCAACAAGAACAAGGTAGCATATCATGCAGCAAAGATCACAGGTTATGAAGATGTACCAGCCAACGAGTTGGCTTTGTTGAAGGCAGTGGCCAATCAACCTGTTCTGTTGCAATTGACGCCAGTGGATATGACTTCCAGTTTTACTCACTTGGAATTCTCACAGGAGATTGTGGAACTCATTTGAACCATGGTGTCATTGTAGTTGGGTATGGGGTGGCCCTGAGGGTGTGCAAGTGGTGCCACCAGGGCCCCTGATTTTTGAGGGGCCCCAATTTTTTTTTTATGTGTATAATATATGTAGAGTGCTGCTATTTTCACTCACCTGTCCTATTTTTCAACCCACCTTATTTTAAAAAATTTAAAGACAAATTTATCCCTTTGTAAAACGACTTCTAAAACCCTAAAAATAAATTTTAAAAATAAAATAAATTTTTTCTTTTAACTCTCCATATTCTTTCCATCTTCCTGACCTCAACAAATTCAGCAAGCACTGATCTACCCATCCCAATCCTTTGAAAAGTTAAAAAAAACAAATCAAATCAAATTCTCAACTACACCTTTAATATTGTGGCTGGGTTGGTGGGTGTTGATAATAGAGGCCAAATTGTCCTTTAATTTTATTCTATTTTAAAGATTTTTTAGTCTGATTAACCCACATGCGGGTCCTTATTCCATATAACATCACTTCAATTAAAATCCATTGTAGTCTTGTTGGTCGTGTGTTGTTGTGGTGGTGGTGTCGCGGTCGTGAAGCCACCAGTACTGCTAAGGGGTTGATGAGAATATTAATATGGTAGGGTAAGGTCGTGATGTTGAAAACACATGAAGAAGATGAATTTTTTTTTTTTTTTTTTTTTTTTTTTTTTTGTTTTTTATGTTAAATTTTTTTTTTTTTTTATGTTTTTAACTTGGTGTTTGGTTGAATTAATAATTAAAGGGTATTTTAGGAATAATGGTGGGTGGAAAAGTAGGATTTTATTTTTTCAAATTTATATAGTGGGTGAGAAAATAGAACAGGTGGGTGGAAATAGCAGCACTCCATATGTGTAACAAATGTTATATATATACAGAGTGAGCAAATTGTTGACACAAAGACGTTTCTAGTTGTGTTGGTTTGTAGGGCCTCAACTTCTATTCAGGGCTCGACTTCAAAACTTGCTTGTGTTAAAGGCTTGTCCGATGTCAACACCAACATTCAATATCCCATTTACTTTCACAACCACAAACTGAAATAATAAATACCCGATCACAAGGAATTAGTCAGTAATTATGCTCAGATATTCATTTTCGCAAAAATAATGCATCCAACTAAGTCAACCAAAATAATTGCATCAAATTAATGATTGTCCTAGAATATTGATACAAAATAAATTAGGTGTTAAAAAATATTTAATATCTGAATATGATCTATGATGACAAAGACTCAAGCAAATTGTTGACACAAAGACCTTTCTAGTTGTGTTGGTTTGTAGGACCTCAACTTCTATTCAGGGCTCGACTTCAAAACTTGCTTGTGTTAAAGGCTTGTCCGATGTCAACACCAACATTCAATATACCATCTACTTTCACAACCACAAACTGAAATAATAAATACCCGATCACAAGGAATTAGTCAGTAATTATGCTCATATATTCATTTTCGCAAAAATAATGCATCCAACTAAGTCAACCAAAATAATTGCATCAAATTAATGATAGTCTTGGAATATTGATACAAAATAAATTAGGTGTTAAAAAATATTTAATATCTGAATATGATCTATGATGACAAAGACTCATCGTCACAATCATGGTGATTATTCAAAAGGTGTAACATCTCTGACCCAATTTAATCGATTTAATCCAATTTAATTCTTTTGTGAAATTTCAATTTTGTCCTTGGGAATAGGGGTACTTTGTTCACTTTAAGGAAAAAAAAACATTCATTGTATGGCATTACGTAATGGTGTAAGTTTGTGTTAGCTTATGTGAGGCCCCAATTTAAGGTTCGCACAGGGCCTTCAAAATCTCAAGACCGGCCCTGGGTATGGGACAGGTGCTGATGGTACGAAGTATTGGTTAGTCAAAAATTCATGGGGTGCAGAGTGGGGTGAGGGTGGATATGTAAGAATTCAAAGAGAAGTGCATACTAGGCAAGGCCTTTGTGGCATTTCATGTGCAAGCCCATTGTAGCATTACCATGAAAGCTTCTTATCCTACTGCTTGAATTTCTATAGCAATTATTAGGAAATATTCAATCTTCATCTTGTGTGTTCTTATTGATCATGTAATTTCTTAGTATGTAGGTTTTGGAATTAATGATGGAACTTTGTTTCTTGAATTTTTAGGCAATATAGTGCACTCGAACTACTAAATAGATCGGTACTGCTGAAATTGAGCCTTGCTTCTTCTTTTAGTTTATTTTAAAGAACCTAAAACACAGGCTGGCTAGCCACATGAGAATTTGCAAAGATGTTGATATGTGAGTTACCATCATATATATATGGCCAACAAGATCCCTGGTGTAAACCACAGAGCATGTATATGGTTGATGCCTATCTGTGCCTGCAGACCTTGTCATATCCTGCTTACTTGGCTATTTAGACTATATTGGTTTATGCTTATCCACGTCTGTTAGCCTAATTGCTTAAAAGTGAATTTGATGCACTTTTTCTTTTTACAAAAATAGATCAGAGTGATATATATTTAAGTATGCGTATGCATCTTATATGCTAGCTAGGTATGACAAACTCTATACGAGAATTAATCGAGTTCTAATGGCCTAATATTGAAAATGTGTTTCATTTCATCACAGTGAAGCAGAAAATGAGTCGATCTGACTGAAGTTTTTATTGGTTTTTTTTCAATATGCAGGTTCCTTTCCACATATATCCAAAGATATTCCTTAACAGTGAAGAACAAAGATGCTCATCATCTATATATATATGGAAATTTTGATCTTGCTTCTTCACACCTAGTGATCATCAATCAGCTAATAACAATGGCTTTTACACTTGAATGGAAATTCATGATTTCCATGTTCATAGGGGTTTCGGGGACTTGGGCATCAAAAGCCGCATCCACCGCGTTGGATGAAGCTTCAATGGCGATGAAATATGCAGAAAAGTAAAGGTGTTTCAAGATATTCAAGGAAAATGTGGAATTCATCAAAAGTTTAATAAGGAAGCGAATCACACTTACAAGTTAGGCCTCAACGAATTCTCAGACCTTACAGATGAAGAATTCACCATGTTTCATACTGGATACAAACCACAAGCTCATTCAAAAATAGTTCTTTCTGGAACGAAAAACTGACTGATGATCCACCAACCATTGACTGGAGGAACGAAGGAGCTGTCACCCCCATAAAATTCCAAGGTGTATGTGGTAAGATGAGCACCAAAACTCAAAGGTCCCTACCAAAACTAATTAGTTATATAACATGCACATGAACATTATTTTTGTGATCATTAATTTATATACGAAGTTGCTGGGCATTTACAGCAGTGGCTGGCAGCTGTGGAGGGAATTACACAAATCAAAACTGGTAGCTTGATCTCACTGTCCAACAACTAGTGGACTGTTCCAAAAATGGCGCCAACCAAGGTTGCGAAACTGGTAATGTGCTCGATGCCTTTGATTACATACAAACAAACGGTATCACCGGTGAAACAAGTTACCAATACATAGGAAATAATGAAACATGTGACATTGAGAAGACAAATAACATTGCTGCCTGTATTGCGGGCTACTAATCTGTGCCATCTGACAGGGAGGAGGCACTGCAGAAGATTGTTTCGATGCAACCGGTCACAGCTGCGGTTGCAGGCAGAGGAATGTCATTCCGACATTATTCCAGTGGGGTCTTTTCTGGAGGTTGTGGGATCACTTGACCATGGTGTTACAGTCGTTGCCTTTGAAGAAAATGAAGACGGCATCAAGTATTGGTTGGTCAAGAATTCATGGGGAGCGAACTGGAGTGAGGGTGGCTACATGAGATTGCGCAAAGATGTTGGTTTTCCAAAAGATCTTTGTGGCATTGCCATGTATGCTTCCTATCCAGTTGTATAACCCTCCCTTGGCATATGGCTGCATATGTATTGAGCAGCTTGAGTAATGGCATTGTAATCTAAACTTGGTAGTGGTATAATAAAGCTGCTGTTTTTCCATATTCAGTTCCACAATTGAGTAGTGTTGTACAAAGCACACTAAGATTTTGTGCCTACATCCTCTTTGATGATCACCTCGAGAAATTTAACTAATAATAAGATTTTTTTGGGTGCGCATACATTTTTGCATTAACAACGCAAAAAGTAATGGGTTAATTTAATTGTTTCGTATAATTGAAACTCAACAACTAATAATATGGTCAGTACTTGTAGACGTGGGCCTTGTTGATTTTGAGCCTTACAACTCTGGTCACTTAATTTTATTTGAAAAATGCTTTTGTAGAAAGTATATAGAATATTTGTTTAGGAAGCACTTCTGATGATAAATATTTTTATTATAAGCATATGTAAATTTTATTAAAAATTCAAGTGCTTTATCTTTAGGGATATTTATAGAAATGTCACATGAACTTATATATCAGTTTCAATTTGTCACCTTAAAGAAAAATTTAAGCAAAATGTCATCTTAAGTTTTCAAAATTTATGATTTGTCACCTGACTTTAACATCATCCAATTTTCCATCTATTTTGAAGGGCATTTTAGTCTTTCCAAGCAAGGGGGTTTACATAGCTTTATATTTAAATTATATAAAAAGAGGGTTTACATATTGGAAAGACTAAAATACCCTTCAAAATGGATGGAAAATTGGATGATGTTAAAGTCAGGTGACAAATCATAGATTTTGAAAACTTAAGGTGACATTTTGCTTAAATTTTTCTTTAATGTGACAAATTGAAACTGATGTATAAGTAAAGGTGACATTTCTTCAAAAATCCCTTATCTTTATGGTTGAAAAAAGTAATTGGAACTACTTTTATAGGCCATTAGCGGTTTAATTTTTTTAAAATGTCAAACTATGCAAAAACGTGCTTTTGTTTGATTATCTAAAAGCATTTCCAAACTGGCCAAGCTTAGCTAAGACTCTTTTCATACATTACGATTTGCTCCAATTATACCTCCATAGACGTCGGGTGAATGATGATTTGCGCCAATTATGCCAGCCAGCTCATTTTCCTGCGCCAATTATAACAATATTATTGTTGAATTAGACACAAAGTTTAAAAAGCATAACATGATTGTATGTACGTTTGGTGATTGAGACTGGACTGGACTATAGAGTCCCAACCAAGCTACCCAAAATCTCAGTACACACTAACTATGATGCATTACAGGATCGACGATGACGACCTCAAGAATCCATCGGTCTCGCTCAGTGGAAAAGTATGACAAATCAAGCCTCTTTTTTCTCTGTTATTTCTTCTCATTTGGCAGGGCAGACATTAAAAGTTTACTTAACCACAAATACACACAACATAATCCCTTTTAAGTCTATATACCGTTTGGGAGAGTTTCAGTCATGTCGCAAATTAAGGCTGAAACTCCCCCAGCAATTGGTATTGTGTTAGGATCGGTTGGTAGTGCCAGAATGGGAATTCACAAACTCAACCAACAATAAATAATATAATATATTAGTAAATTTAGCTTAACCCCTTCAAAGTCATTTTTCCTCAACTGCAATCCATCTCTTTATTTTTGTTTGAATAAAATAGAGTAATGAAACCAATGAATTAACGTGATTCAGCAATATGCCTACGTCCGCGGAGCAACCATCGATATAAACTCTTCCACTATAACAAATAATGAGTACAACAAAAAAGATCTTATCAAGCCAATGCCCAGGGCTTGATGAACAAACAAGAGTACAAAACACCACACTGTACGCTCAACACTTCTCACTCACACACTTTAGAAGTGGTACACAATATCTCTCTCACTCACACTATTATGGTGTGGAACTCTCTCACGCTCACACAACTTGGAGTGGAACTCTCTTATTTCTATCTCTCACTCTCCCTCTCCTGGAGTGGAGTGGAATACTTGGCTTGATGGATTTTCCTGGAATTCGTGGGACTGCTTGCTTGCATCTCACAGGCAGCCCACTCCCTCATTTCCTTCCCTTTGGTGTGACACAAGCACACCTTGCATGAATAAGCAACGAAGGCTATCAACGTATGGAGACAAAGACTTCAAAACCAGCCTAACCACTGGGTCAAAATGGCTCCACATCATTTCAAATCATGCAGCCATTGGTAGGCACTATCATTGCCTTGCCTCCCAGTCGAAAGCACAGGGTATCAATTGTTGACAAACAAGTAATCCTCCACATGGGAGGGACCACTTCCACAGCCATTGTGAACGCACAAAGCATGCCACCAATTGAACATCCGCCAACGTGTATCTTTTTTTTTTGGACGAACACCAACGTGTATCTCATGCATGCACATTTAGTCTACAATTCCATGTCATGAATTTTCCTTTCCCATGGACTTGACCCATGGTAGACCAACATTTAGTCTACAATTCCATGACATATTGTACCCATGTCATGAATTTTCCTTTACCACTAGGCTGATTCTTCTTCTTGTGTAATATGAGTATAATCATAGTATTTATAACTTTCTAAAAGAATTTAAAAAATATTAAAGGGGTTTAAAACATACTAAAAGAATTAAAAAAAAAATAGTATTTTTTTTTCTTTTCTCTCAACCATCAGTTTCCTCTCTCTCTCTCTCTCTCTCTCTTTGGCTTCTTCTTCTTCCTCCCCATACTTCAAGCCATGAAATGGTTGTCGAGTCCCCACTGCCTCAATTCTCTGCCATCGATGTTTGCGAAAACCACACCGCATCGTACCAATTTCTCGGCCTGCCAATTGAAGTCGGTCTCTCATTTTGCGGTGCGACAGCGGTCTCCGTATTAAATAACATACTAGCTACTTTTTGGCAAAAAAAAAAAGTACTTACCTAGTTGGTTTATTTAATATAAAAAAATTTATGTTATTTTCCTTTTATACATGGTTAGCAATCTATTTTATTAGTGTTTTATGAATAATAGTTAAGAAAAAAATATAATGTACATTACTTGTTTTATTAGAAATAATTTGATAATCGATTTATTGTTTGTTTTATAAATAAAAATTTACCTAGTATAATGTACCAATTTTTTTGCTAAATAATGAACTTTTTTTTCCCTAAATAATGTACCTTTTTTTGTTGCTAAATATTGAACCTATTATTTTTATAAATAATGTACCTATTATTAATTTATGAAAAATGTGCAAAAATTTCAATTACACAACGCACCTATTTTTTTGGCAAAAACTACCTTCATTTTGTTGTTGTTGTAAATAGTACCTATATATATATTTTGTAAATAATGTATCTATAATGTATATAAATTATTATGTACCTAATTTTCATTTTTGAAAAATGTATAGAAATTTCAATTACAAAAGTAACTGACAAATTTTTATTTTTATTTTTTGTGTAAATAATGTATAGGGTTTAGATACAGATTTAGGGATTTTTTTTGGTTCAAAATTTTTTAGAAATATGAAGCTAGAATATTGTAATTTAGTTAATAATACTAGGACAAATCTATCTTACATGGAAACCTATTTTTAATTTGGATTTTTTTTTGGTACAAACAATAGTCTAAACTATAGAGGAGGGGGAATTTTGCATACACACACACACACAATTAAGATGTCATGGGAATTCGAACCTGAGACGTCCGCTTGTCTACAAATGAAGGCCTTTTTCCACTGGGTTAGACACATTGGCTTAAATTTGAGTTTTAAGTAAAGGTTTAAAAGTATGTGGGTTAATATCTAGAATATAATAATTGTAAGAGCATCCACAATGGACTCCCTATATCATGTCCTTAGACAAATTTTAAGGAGGAATTGGAAAAAGACAACTCCAACCATGCTCCCTATCCACCTCCTAAAATAGGGAGACCTCTAGGAACTCCTAAATCTTAGCAAAGAGAGAAAAGTAAATTTAGGTTTTAGCCACAAAAAAACTTTCACTTTTGAAAAAAGTCAAAACTTTTCCAAAAAAGACATAAAAACCCCTCAACTTTCAAATCAAAGATATGCAAATGTAAATGATTTATTATGAAATCCAAAAATAAATAAGGGTATTTTTGTCCATTTTGGCTTCTTTTAAAAATATTTCTCTCTCCTTTGGCCTTTTCCAAAATGTCCCGGAGAGAAATGACTCATAATGGCTCCCTATAATTTAATGCTGCTTTATTTAATGAGTATTTCAAACCTTTAATTAATGCTAACTATTGTATATTATTTTTTAATAGAGATGGACCAATTAAAAAAGAGTTATAGTATTTATGACTCTCTAAATTATAGAACGTGATTGGAGTTTAAATTTTATAGAGAGCTCCTAAAATAACTTTTATATATTTTAACTAAAATTTAACTAAAAAATATAGAGCATGATTGTGGATACTCTAAGGGTATACATTGGAACAACCATTCAATTTTTCGAAATTTCAGCAAAAAGTCTCGTACTCTTTTTCCTTAATTTTGGAAAAGAGCATTTAGTTCAAAAGTGAGCCCGGGTTATGAGGAATTCGGGGCGATTTCTGTCATCATCTCTTTTGTTGGATTCTCCTTTCTTCTTTGCTCCCCCGTTCGCTGGTCATTTCTAGAATTGTCTTTCTTGGACGACTTTTGAGATTTGAAACTTAGTTTTGATTAGAAAGCACTCTTAACAGATTGATCATTTCGTGTCAACCTTCTCTGCTCGTGAGACTTTAAAGAACCCATCAATTGTTCAATTGATAAGGTGGTGATGTCCTTGCACAGTTGCACTCTTCAATAGCAGCAACAATGGGATCATATTTTTCAGGTAACTGATCAGTATTTTTTCAACAACCCTCTGGTCAGAGATCTCCTCACCAAGTGTTCTCATTTGATTCACAAGTTCAGTTAGTCTAGAGGCATAATCTTGGATGCCTTCAGATTCTTTCATCTTCATATTATAGAATTCCCTGCGCAAAGTCTGTAGCTTGATTGTTATGGCCTTGCTACCACATTGAAACTCCTTTTCTAATGTATCCCAGGCTTCTTTTGCTGTTTTAGATCTTGTGATTCTTGGAAAAATGTCTGAAGTGACTCCGGTCTGAATCTTGGAGAGAGCCTTGGCATCTTTCATGACTTCTGCTTCGAACTTCTCTCTTTCTGCTGCTGGAAGCTGACTTAGATCCTCTGGTTCTTGAAGCCCTCTTTCAACGAAGCTCCAAAGTCCTTCTGACAGCAGTATAGTTCTCATCTTCACCTTCTAGAGATCATAATTTTCACCTCCAAAGATTGGGAGAATAGAGTAGGAAACTAATGGACCTTCTTTGGCTCCTGATGACATCTTCTAGAATTGATTTCAACGCCCAAATATGATCGAACGCTGCTCTGATACCAGTTGTTGGTTTTGTGATGGAAAATGAGGTGCTGGAAATATGAGTTGCTTCAGCAGAGCTCTTTGTATTCTGATTCACTTAGCTTCTGTTTACAATGATAAGCTCAAAAGCTTTTTAAAGAGAACAAATATTCTAGAGAATACTTCCTAGAGAACCTAAAATACATTGCATAGGAACTCTACCAAATTAATTAAGGACAGCTACAGCTGCTGCAATAAATAGAGATATTCTAGAGAATGAAGGAAGTGCATTAATTCCAACAAAAATTCCAAGGGGTATGTGGTAAGATGAGCACCAAAACTCAAAGCTCCCTACCAAAACTAATTAGTTATATAACATGCACATGCACATGCACATGCACTCAAGCTCCCTACACAAATCAAAACTGGTATAGCTTGATCTCACTGTCCAACAACTAGTGGACTGTTCCAAAAATGACGCCAACCAAGGTTGCGAAACTGGTAATGTGCTCGATGCCTTCGATTACATACAAACAAACGGTATCACCAGTGAAACAAGTTACCAATGCATAGGAAATCATGAAACATGTGACATTGAGAAGAAAAATAACATTGCTGCCTGTATTGCGGGCTACTAATCTGTGCCATCTGACAGGGAGGAGGCACTGCAGAAGACTACTTCGATGCAACCAGTCACAGCTGCGGTTGCAGGCAGAGGAATGACATTCCGACATTACTCCAGTGGGGTATTTTCTGGAGGTTGTGGGATCACTTGACCATGGTGTTACAATCGTTTCCTTTGAAGAAAATGAAGAGGGCATGCATTAAGTATTGGTTAGTAAAGAATTCATGGGGAGCGAACTGGGGTGAGGGTGGCTACATGAGATTGCGCAAAGATGTTGGTTTTCCACTAGAAGATCTTTGTGGCATTGCCATGTATGCTTCCTATCCAGTTGGATAACCCTCCCTTGGCATATGGCTGCATATGTATTGAGCAGCTCGAGTAATGGCATTGTAATCTAAACTTGGTAGTGGTATAATAAAGCTGCTGTTTTTCCATATTCAGTTCCACAATTGAGTACGTAGTGTTGTACAAAGCACACTAAGATTTTGTGCCTACATCCTCTTTGATGATCACCTCGAGAAATTTAACTACTAATAAGATTTTTTTGGTGCGCATACATTTTTGCATTAACAACACAAAAAGTAATGGGTTAATTTAATTGTTTCGTATAATTGAAACTCAAGAACTAATAATACGGTCAGTACTTGTAGACGTGGGCCTTGTTGATTTTGAGCCTTACAACTCTGGTCACTTAATTTTATTTGAAAAATGCTTTTGTAGAAAGTATATAGAATATTTGTTTAGGAAGCACTGCTTATGATAAATATTTTTATTATAAGCAAATGTACATTTTATTAAAAATTCAAGTGCTTTATCTTTATGGTTGAAAGAAGTAATTGGAACTACTTTTATAGGCAATTAGCACTTAATTTTTTTATTTTTTTTTATTTTATGTCAAACAATGCAAAAACGCACTTTTGTTTGATTATCTAAAGGGGTTCTTCGATCTAGGTCCAAAACAATTAGCTGGTGTTGGATTTAGTCCACTCGTTTTTAGTTTTAGATGTAGGTCATTTGACTTTATTTACTTTTTTTGTTATATCGATTTTACCCTTTGAGATAAATAAGAAAAACATATTGAAAATCTAAATTTAATGCATAATTTCCTTGTAATTGAATTTTGAATTCTTTCCTTGATAATATTTACCTAATATATATCATTTAATCAATAAAAGTAAGACCCTCTTATTATACCTATGCGATGGACAATAGGACAATATATCTATACCATGGGATAATATATCTATATCATAGGCTGAACAAACCACAAAACATCTTACCTATAAGTAAGGTGGAAAAATAAACAAGCAGAATATTAAATTACCTATAACTTAGGTGCACAAAAACATAAGTCGGACAATATATGCTACATATATCTCTGGTACATAAAAAAGATAAGTGGTAAAGTGTATGTTACCTATAACTTAGATTCATAAACAAAAAGGCAAAAAAGTGTGGTACCTATATCTCATGTATGTAAAAACACAAACACAAGTCAATTAATAACTTCTTTTTTTGTTAAAGGAATATGTTACCTATAATTTAGATATATATATATATATATAATATGAAGAAAAATATATCAAAAAAATGTATTACCTATATCTCAGTTATAATATACTTAAAAGAACAACTATAAAGAACAAAATGACTGAACCTGATTCAAAGTTGAGCATATATTCAACATAAAATAATAATAATAATAATAATAATAATAATAATAATAATAAAAGAAGAAGAAAAAAAAGAAGAATAAGAAGAAGAAAAAGTCGATACTATGACTGCATAGCAAATGGATATTAGACCATGCTTTAGCGGTCATTTGTGCCTTGGGATGAACCCCAACTCTGAATCTCAATTATTTTCTCATCTATTTTAACGAATGTTTGGCTTCCTTTGAGCACTAAACTCACTCCATTATTTCTTTCTTATATGTCAATGTATAACATTTAAAAAAGAAAAAAAGTCTTCCTAATTAGGTGCTTTACTTACCATAAATTTAGTAATTTATTATAAAACCACCATAAAAATTTGCTGCAGTTAATAACTTCATTATTTCTTACGTTTTATGTGCTCAAGGGTAAATTGGATAAGGAAATAAATATAATATTGGCTAATTATCTCATTAAGGTAAGTAATATAAGATAATGGGCAATATTGGAACCAAAAATGATTTTAAAAATATAAAAATCAAAAGATTACATCATACAATATTTAAAAAGGAATGTAATCCTATGTGACACAAAAGTCAAAGGACTTGTATCAAAGTCACAAAATCCGAGGATTAAACCCGACTTATAGATGAGAATTTGGATCTATATCAACTTTTCTATTATCTAAAAGCATTTCCAAACTGGCCATGCTTAGCTAAGACTCTTTTCATACATTATGATTTGCTCCAATTGTACCTACATAGACGTGAATGATGATTTGCGCCAATTATGCCTCCATGACTTACTATTATGCCTTCATGACTTACTATGCGTCAATTTTCCACAAACAAAACAAAATATCAACTTAATAGTATTCGGCTACGTACGTGCCTGGAAATTTCGCTGCCTTCCCAATTCCGCTAATAACATGAACACTGTGTTCACATGCAAACACGCTGATCATCTTCTATATAAACCCACGATCGTATGCTTTGCTTCTTCACAGCTAGCTAAGCTTTCCAATATCACTACTTAAAACCTAAGCCAATATTCCTTTGCGAACAATGGCTTTTGAGAAAAACCTTGTGGTCATTGCCATATTCATCGTCTTGGGGACTTTGGCATCTCAAGCCACATCCCGCACACTGTCCGAAGCTTCCTTTGCTGCAAAACATGATCAATGGATGACAAAGTATGACCGTGTTTATGAGGACAATGCAGAGAAGGAAAGGCGTTTCGCCATATTCAAGAAGAACTTGCAGTTTGTGGAGAAGTTCAACTCTGAAGGGAACAAGACTTACAAGTTAGGACTGAATGAACATTCTGATTTGAGCGATGAAGAATTCCTCCGGCAGCGTACTGGATACAAAAGGGCCACTGAATTAACCTCATCCGCAAACATATCTTTCAGGTACAAAGACCTCAGCCCGACTGATGTTCCGCCTAGCATTGACTGGAGGGAGAAAGGAGCTGTCACCCCCATAAAGAATCAATTAAACTGTGGTAATTAAGAGATCCACCTTCCTTATATTAATTACCTTCTTAACTCATCCATATTCTTTACTAAGTATTGATGTTTTTGTTTTTGTATTATATATGTAGGCTGTTGCTGGGCATTTTCTACAGTGGCAGCAGTGGAAGGGATTAACCAAATCAAAACTGGGGAACTGATCTCACTGTCCGAGCAACAACTTCTGGACTGTACCAGCGACTATGGCAACCAAGGCTGCGATGGTGGTCTCATGACTAATTCCTTTAAATACATCCAAGAAAACGGAGGAATTGCCAGCGAAGAAAACTACCCGTACCAGGCTGTGAATGGAACATGTAACGCTAATCAGCCTGCTGTCCAGATCACTGGTTATGAAAAGGTGCCTGAAAATAGTGAAGAAGACCTACTCAAGGCTGTGTCCATGCAGCCAGTCTCAATAGCCATCGTTGGTTCCGGGAACGAGTTTAGGAATTACCAAAGTGGGGTCTTCTCGCCCACAGATTGTGGGACAACACAGGACCACGCTGTTACCGTCATTGGGTACGGGACGACTGAGGACGGCACTAAGTATTGGTTACTCAAGAATCAATGGGGTGAGAGCTGGGGTGAAAATGGCTATATGAAAATTCTTAGGGATGCTGGTGCCCCAAAAGGTGTCTGTGGCCTTGCTCAGTATGCTTCCTATCCGACAGCATAATCTATATATATTTATATAGGCTATTATGGAATCCATATCGAAGTGAATGTATTATCAATGGCTGTGAAAATGCCTATATCCAACTACATCATGAATAAATTAATATCGCATGTGCAAGATATATTCTAAATAGCAGAAGTAATATGGTGCATTAGATTGATATAGTATACGTAATATGTAATGCGAAAAATAAAACATGCATTTTTAAATCGACAACCCCAGAAGTAATATGGTTTAATGTTCTATATAATTCCTCTACTTGATGAAATTGAGACTCAAGAACTAATAACATGGGTTACTACTTGTACTCCTATTCATTCCGCCAAACTGCCCAAAGTCTTATTATGCATAAATTACGATGGATTACAGGACCGACGACCTCAAAAGTCTCATTGGTCTTTGCAGAATAGAAAAAAATAACAAATCAAGTCTCTTTTTTCTCTGGTTTTTTCCCATTTGGCAGGGAAGACCTCAAAAGTCTCATTGGTCTTTGCCGAATAGAAAAAAATAACAAATCAAGTCTCTTTTTTCTATGGTTTTTTCCCATTTGGCAGGAAAGACCTCAAAACTCTCATTGGTCTTTGCCGAATAGAAAAAAATAACAAATCAAGTCTCATTGAGGAAATACCTGTATTGACTTAAAGATGGAGTTTGCATTTTGCCACCGATATCAGTGTGTATAAGTTCCAGTGGTGCTTTTGCTCACCACGTGCTTTGTCGAGGAAAAGAATTACAGTTTTGCTTGCCCATAATGCACCCTTCACATACATCTGTTGTTTCCTTAATTTCCGGCAGCCCGTTCACCATACTATTCTTCTGGAGTAGCTTCAGCCCCTGGAAGTTTAGATGACAAAATCTCTTGTGCCATAGCCAAGAGTCCTGCACAACATTAGCTTTCATGGCAGCAACTTCAGCATATTGAAATTCAATGGGGAAATTTCTATTCCTCTCCATTTTCACCTTTGCAATCACCATCTCAACTGCATTTTTATCATAAATGATGCATGCACCATCTTGAAAAACAAGACGATAGCCATTCTCCACAAGTTGTCCAACACTAAGCAAATTTTGACTTAGTTTTGGAACAAGCAAGACATCATGAATCTGCTTCACCCCCTTCTTAGTTTTGACATCAATTCTTCCTTTTCCTTTTGCCTCCACAATAGCACCATTACCCATTTTGATATTTGGAGTAGCTGAAGTATCCACATCAAGAAAAATATTTTCATTTCCTGACATGTGGTTGCTGCATCTGACAGGACCCGCCCCGAATTTCCCGGAACCCGAGACGAACCCTGCGGAGACCCCGACATCACACCCATGCCGGGTTCACTCCTTAAAACTATGTCCTCTTGTACCAAAGAGGATTTAGGGCACGAGACTTTCTGCCAAAATTTCGGCAGAGTCTCCCCTGTAAATTGAACATTCCCCAAAATGTCCACCTGCATAAAACACATTTTATAACCCAACCAGCAGCACGCACAATATAATCTCAAGCAGTTTACATAAATGGCCTCCGGCCTTCCAATGATTCTAATAGACTACTCACACTGCTTTCAAAATAACTTAATGCATCAAACATGCATATAACAAATTCCAAATCTATCTATACACACCTTCACTCACTCAGTCCACCGGACAAGCCTCAATTCAACCAAGTTTCGGGACCAACCACGAGGTCCACATCATACTCGATAAAACCACCTAAGTGGTGTCTAGGTCGTGGCTGCACCTAGGCGCTATCCCAGGCTGCCTACGTACCCTACTAAGGGATCAAGCCACACGTAGCTCTTTCCTATCAATCCTGGCTCCTGATATCAATTAAACCATTACATCATATAGATTCATACATTCTCGGGTTCATCCAACACAACACACCCAACATAATCACATAGCTCCCACTCATACGTCGGGACGCACCCGGCCACGTACGGGGTCTGTCAACACGCCGGCTAATCCAAAGACGCGTGCGACCTCACACTGGGCCTGGCTACATTCTCACCAGCCCATCTTACCATTATATCTCCCACTCATACGTCGGGACGCACCCGGCCACGTACGGGGTCTGTCAACACGCCGGCTAACCCAAAGACGCGTGCGACCTCACACTGGGCCTGGCTACATTCTCACCAGCCCTCACACATCATATCTCCCACTCATACGTCGGGACGCACCCGGCCACGTACGGGGTCTGTCAACACGCCGGCTAACCCAAAGACGCGTGCGACCTCACACTGGGCCTGGCTACATTCTCACCAGCCCTCACACAATCATATCTCCCACTCATACGTCGGGACGCACCCGGCCACGTACGGGGTCTGTCAACACGCCGACTAACCCAAAGACGCGTGCGACCTCACACTGGGCCTGGCTACATTCTCACCAGCCATCTTACCATCATATCTCCCACTCATACGTCGGGACGCACCCGGCCACGTACGGGGTCTGTCAACACGCCGGCTAACCCAAAGACGCGTGCGACCTCACACTGGGCCTGGCTACATTCTCACCAGCCCTCACACAATCATATCTCCCACTCATACGTCGGGACGCACCCGGCCACGTACGGGGTCTGTCAACACGCCGGCTAACCCAAAGACGCGTGCGACCTCACACTGGGCCTGGCTACATTCTCACCAGCCCTCACATAATCATATCTCCCACTCATACGTCGGGACGCACCCGGCCATGTACGGGGTCTGTCAACACGCCGGCTAACCCAAAGACGCGTGCGACCTCACACTGGGCCTGGCTACATTCTCACCAGCCCTCACACAATCATATCTCCCACTCATACGTCGGGACGCACCCGGCCACTGTCAACATAATCACAATATGAGGGGTACGTGGGGTAGTGCGTATAGCACTGTAAACTAATATTCAATCTCCTTATATATCATTATACATCCACACAATCAAATATATCATGTAATTTATAATCATACAATAACATCAACCAATAAAACATTCCATAAACTCCCACATTTAAATTCACCAATTTATATCCTAACCCACAATATCCATTTTACTCAACAACGCTCAAGACCTGTCACTAAGGTCATTCTAACCCTCAAATAAAGGTAAGACTATCTCGGAAGTCTCACGGTCAACCTAGGGTCAAACGGGCCTGCGGGGCCCACAACCTCCAAATTCCGATCCGATAGTTCCTAGAGGTTCTACAAGCTCTAGGACACATGTCCTGCAAGTTTGGTCCAGATCGGACGGTCGGATTGCTCACGATCGCACCATCGGACGGATACTTAAACCCTAACCCCAGGGTTGGCATTTCCGGAGTATCCGGGACTCCGTTTTACGATCCGTCGAATCCTACACGATCCTGGTAATACCTAGATCAACATATTATAATATCAGGACCATCCAACGGTCCAAACCCAGCGAACCCGGAAAATACGCGATATGCGATATCCGTTCGGGACTCTAACGATATCCAAATTGAGATCCGAGCACACCTGCGCGCTCGTGACATCGAGAGGATCACAATGGGACAAAAATGCCCCTCAGCTACAGTGCCCACGCGCCGCCACACGCGCCGGCAGCGCGTGGGTGTCCAAAGCGATACCCATCGCCGGAAAACTTCCAAATCGTGAGCCCAAGACTCCTACCCTAGGTAATACACCTAATTTGGAGTCACTTTTGTTCTTGGACGTACCCCAAAAACTGACCGGAAGTGGCCGGAATCTCATCCCGAAATCCGGCCGAACCCTAACTCGAAAATCAGATAATCTAGGCTCAAAATCGATACAATCCTACCCAACCATCAGCTAGATCATGCAGAAGGGATGAATTTCCATACCTTGATCGCCAAAAATGGCGGCCGGACGACGGAGAACGAAGCCGGCGAAGTTTCGGGCGAAACCGAGCTTTTCTCTTCGATTTTCCGGCGAAATCTCGACGGCTGACGGCGAGACCTGGCTGGGGTAGGAAGAGGACGGCGGCCCGGTCATTTTGGTACCGGCCCCGTCGACTTTGGTGGCCGGACGAGAGCACGGCCGGCGTGGCCGGCCACAGTGGCTGTCGCGAAAACCAGAGGGAGAGACGCGCGCGGGAGAGAGAGAGAGTGTCAGAGACGGGGGCAATTCCGTCTTTTAACCAAAAATCCATTTTCCAAATATTTACGATTATGCCACTGAGCTTCTTTTGATCATATCTCTCTCGTTACAACTCCGATTCGAGCCCACCACGTGTCTACGGACTCATCTCACCGTGCTCTACGCAACGGTACAACCGGAATTCTCAAATTCCTTCCGGGTAAAAAAAATGACTAAAATACCCCTATCCCACGGGTAAATTCTTAATTCCACTTAAATAAATTAAAACATGGGATAATTTGGGGTCGGGGTGTTACAGCATCCACTGTCAAGATACCAGATGCTTTCTTTTTCCTCAAGGGCAGATAAACAAGTAGAGAACAAGTTTTCGTTTCCATCATCATCATTCTTGCTTTCAGAAAAATTTGCTTGGTTTGCTTTCTTGAATCTGCAGTTCTTCTCAATGTACCCAAATTTGTTGCAATTGTGGCACTTTGGCTGTCCACGGTTCCAACAATTTGACATATCATGATTTGTTTTGTTACAAATCCTGTAGGAAGGCTAATTATCTTCAGAATTCGTACTTTTCCCATTCTTGGATTCATCTGTAACGACCTGGCCGTAAATAAATTTTTAATTATTAAGTTATTCAGATAAAAGACCATTTTGCCCTTGGAATATTTTATTATGTTTAAAGTTGACTTTTTGACCGGGAAGGAATTTGAAATTTTGCTATACCGTTGCATAGAGCACGGCGAGATGAGTCCGTAGACACGTAGTGGGCTCGAATCGGAGTTGTAACGAAAAAGATACGATCAAAATACCCTCAGTGGCACAATCATAATTATTGCGAAAAGGGGTTTGATAAAATCTGATCTCTCTCTCTCTCTCTCTCTCTCTCTCTCCTCTCTCTCTCTCTCTCTCTCTCTCTCTCTCTCTCTCTCTCTCTCTCTCTCTCTCTCTCTCTCTCTTTGTGGTTTGCACGACACCTTGATTCGCCGCCACCCCAGCAGCCTTTCCCAACCATCTCTGACGTCAGCCATCGCTTCCGACAAGTGAGGTATGCTGTCTCACCTATTTTTCATGATCTAGCTGATGGTTGGGTAGGATTTCAAAAATTTTAAGCGTTGATAGATCAATTTTCGAATTGAAATTCAGCCGGTTTTGGGATCGCGATTCCGGCCACTTCCGTTCACCTTTTTAGGTTGACCCAAGAACAAAAGTGACCCCAATTAGGGTGTTACACCTAGGATAGGAGTCTTGGGCTGTGATTTTGAGATTTCCAGGCGAAGTGTTATCGCTTTGGACATCCACGCGCTGCTGGCTCGTGGCAGAGCGTGGCCACTGTAGAAAAAGGGCATTGTGTCCCTATGGTCCTCACGAGTGCGTAGGTGTGCTCCGATTTCAATTTGGATACCGTTTGAGTATAGAACGGATTTCACCTATTGTATGTCATCCGGGTTCGATAGGTTCAGACCGTTGGATCAACTCCATTCCAATATATGTTGATCTAGGTATTTCTAGGATCGTATAGGATTTCACGGATCGTGAATTGAAGCCTCGGATGTTCTGATTCAATAACTTAAAGTTATGTTTTATGTTAACCGTCCGATCGTGCGATCGTGAGTGATACGACCGTCCAATCCGGACCGAACTTGCAGGACGTGTATCCTACACCTTGTGGAACCCATAGGAACGTTCGGATCGTAAAACGGAGGTCGTGGGGTCAGTGGGCCCGGTTGACCAAGTTTGGATAGTTTGACCCCTCGGTTGACTGTGAGTCTTCCGAGGTAGTTTCCCTCTTCGAGGAGTGCTAGAACGACTTTATTAACGAATCTCGATCGTTATTTGAGTTATGTTGACTAGGTTGGGATTTCGAGTTTTGTTTTTGTAATGTATGATAATTCTTGGATATTATGTTAATAATTGAAATTATAGAATGATTGATTATGGGTTAATTGAGTTGGGTGAGTTATAAAAATGAGCTTTGGGTTCGGCTATGATTTTAGTGAGTGGACATTTATTTTAAATATACATGATTTTCAATGATTGAAAGAATATGTATGAAATTGAGATATATATATATATTTGGATTAAAGATTGAGAAATTAATAAGTTGCGATGTTAGTAATATTCAATTGGGAATTTGATTTGATTTGAGATTTGAAGGTTTGAATTATTTGACGATGAGTTATATAAAAGGTCAAGTTATTTGTGATTAAGTCTTGGATGAATTTTTGTGGGAAATCGGGAATTGAATATTATGGTTTATTGTGGGAAGTTATATGATGATATTATGTTAAGTACATATTTCCCATACGTGACGTCGGAATTTCCAGCGTATGGGAAGAATATGTGATTATTAAGTCTCACACGTGGCGTTGGAATTTCCGGCGTGTGAGACACTTCTCATACGTGGCGTTGGAATTTCCGGTGTATGGGAAGAATACGTGATTATCTGGTCTCACACGTGGCGTTAGAATATTCCGGCGTGTGAGACCATGTGATTTGTTATGGATTATCACACGTGGCGTTGGAGAATTCCGGTGTGTGGTAAAAGAACAGGGAGAGGAAAAAGGGATTATTGTACTATATCAAGGAAAGATTTATGCTTAAAAAGAATTATGGCTGGTGTGTTGTGATTTAAATTAAAAGGGAAAGGAATAATTCTAGAATTTATTATTTTGTATTGTTGTAATTGATTGTATGTTATTGGAACCGGGATTTTTGTTGAAAGAACTACGTGTGGCTTAATCCCTTAGTAAGGGTACGTAGGTAGCCTGGGATCCTACCCGGGTGCAGCCGCAAACTAAAGTTATTTTGGTCTTTGGATGAAGTTGGTTGTGGTCTAGACAATTTTGGAAATCGTTTTGGATCGTTAGAAGATTTGGACCGAGTCCTTAATGTACTTGCGATTGTGGTTGGTTGCTAAATATCTCATGATGGAAATCAGAAAGTTATATTAAGTGGATTACAGTGAGCTTGCATTAGTTTGATTTCACCAATTGCATCGTTTCATTTCCTTATTTGATTCAAGAGCATGGTTGGTGTTTCTGTTTCGGATTATTTGAAGGTCGGAGGCCGTTTATGTGAATTGCATGTTATTACAGTGTGCATGCTGCCAGTTGTGGATATTAAATTGTGTTTTTGTTGCAGGTTAAAAATTTGGGAAATGTTCGATTTACAAGGAAGACTCTGCCGAAATTTCGGCAGAAAGTCTCATACTCCTTTTCCTTAATTTTGGAAAAGAGCATTTAGTTCAAAAGTGAGCCCGGCATGGGTGGGATGTCGGGAATTCCACAGGATTCATCCCGGGTTCCGATGAATTCGGGGCGATTTCTGTCATCATCTCTTTTGCTGGATTCTCCTTTCTTCCACCTTCTTTGCTCCTTTGTTCGCTGGTCATTTCTATAATTGCCTTTCTTGGAGGACTTATGAGATTTGAAACTTAGTTTTGATTCGAAAGCACTCTCAAAAGATTGATCATTTCGTGTCAACCTTCTCTGCTCGTGAGACTTTAAAGAACCCATCAATTGTTCAATTGATAAGGTGGTGATACCCTTGCACTCTTCAATAGCATCAACAATGGGATCATATTTTTCAGGCAAGCTGATCAGTATATTTTCAACAACCCTCTGGTCAGAGATCTCCTCACCAAGAGTTCTCATTTGATTCACAACTTCAGTTAGTCTGGAGGCATAATCTTGGATGCATTCAGATTCTTTCATCTTCATATTATAGAATTCCTTGCGCAAAGTCTGTAGCTTGATTGTTATGGCCTTGCTACCACATTGAAACTCCTTTTCTAATGTATCCCAGGCTTCTTTTGTTGTTTTAGCTCTTGTGATTCTTGGAAAAATGTCTGAAGTGACTCCGTTCTGAATCTTGGAGAGAGCCTTGGCATCTTTCATAACTTCTGCTTCGAACTTCTCTCTTTCTGCTGCTAGAAGCGGACTTAGATCCTCTGGTTCTTGAAGCCCTCTTTCAATGAAGCTCCAAAGTCCTTCTGACAGCAGTATAGTTTTCATATTCACCTTCCAGAAATCATAATTTTCACCTCGAAAGATTGGGAGAATAGAGTAGGAAACTAATGGGCCTTCTTTGGCTCCTGATGACATCTTCTAGAATTGATTTCAACGCCCAAATATGATCGAACGCTGCTCTGATACCAGTTGTTGGTTTTGTGATGGAAAATGAGGTGCTGGAAATATGAGTTGCTTCAGCAGAGCTCTTTGTATTCTGATTCACTTAGCTTCTGTTTACAATGATAAGCTCAAAAGCTTTTTAAAGAAAACAAATATTCTAGAGAATACTTCCTAGAGAACCTAAAATACATTGCATAGGAACTCTACCAAATTAATTAAGGACAGCTACAGCTGCTGCAATAAATAGAGATATTCTAGAGAATGAAGGAAGTGCATTAATTCCAACAAAAATTCCAAGGGGTATGTGGTAAGATGAGCACCAAAACTTAAAGCTCCCTACTAAAACTAATTAGTTATATAACATGCACATGAACATTATTTTGTGATCATTAATTAGTTATATAACATGCACATGCACTGCACTCAAAGCTCCCTACACAAATCAAAACTGGTATCGCTTGATCTCATTGTCCAACAACTAGTGGACTGTTCCAGAAATGACACCAACCAAGGTTGCGAAACTGGTAATGTGCTCGATGCCTTCGATTACATACAGACAAACGGTATCACCAGTGAAACAAGTTACCAATACATAGGAAATAATGAAACATGTGACATTGAGAAGAAAAATAACATTGCTGCCTGTATTACGGGCTACTAATCTGTGCCATCTGACAGGGATGAGGCACTGCAGAAGACTACTTCAATGTAACCAGTCACAGCTCCGGTTGCAGGCAGAGGAATGACATTCCGACATTACTCCAGTGGGGTCTTTGCTGGAGGTTGTGGGATCACTTGACCATGGTGTTACAATCGTTTCCTTTGACGAAAATGAAGAGGGCATGCATTAAGTATTGGTTAGTAAAGAATTCATGGGCAGCGAACTGGGGTGAGGGTGGCTACATGAGATTGCGCAAAGATGTTGGTTTTCCAGAAGATCTTTGTGGCATTGCCATGTATGCTTCCTATCCAGTTGGATAACCCTCCCTTGGCATATGGCTGCATATATGTATTGAGCAGCTCGAGTAATGGCATTGTAATCTAAACTTGGTAGTGGTATAATAAAGCTGCTGTTTTTCCGTATTCAGTTCCACAATTGAGTACGTAGTGTTGTACAAAGCACACTAAGATTTTGTGCCTACATCCTCTGTAACATCCCGACTCCAAATTATTTCCCTATTTTAATTTAATTAAGTGAATTTACATAATTACCCTTAAGGTAAGGGTAATTTGGTCATTTTCTTATCCGGAAGGATTTTGGGACCACGGGTGGTTTGGTTGCGTAGGTGGTTCCGAGATGACTTCGTAGACAAGCGGTAGGCTTGAATCGGAGTTATAACGAAGTTTTGGCGATCAAATTACTTTCGGTGGCAAAACCGTAAATAATTCGAAAAGGGTTATGGTAAAAATCAGATTTTTCAGTTTTACCTCATCTTCTCTTTCTCTCTCCCCGAGCTCTCCTCCCTCTCTGCGATTTCTCCTTCCCGTTACTGTTCACCCGAATAGAACCACCCATGCCACCACCATCTCCGGCCACCTCGATCGACAGCACCGGTCTCAAACGAACCGGGCCACTCTCCTCTTCCACTCCCGACTGTTCTCCACCCCGGGAACCGTCGCAAGCCACCGGAAATTGCAAGTTTCATGCCGGTTTTCATACGAACTTTCCAGCTCTCGTTCTCTCTCGATTCTCCCCCATTTCCGACGGTTGAGGTATGGATTCTCATCCATTTTCTGAGTTCTAGCTGACTGTTGCATAGGATTGGATCAATTGTAGCATAAAATCCGATTTGAAAACCCTTGGTTTTTGGCCGGTTTTCAATTCGAAATTCCGGCCACTTCCGGCCACTTTTTGGGGTAGGCCTAAGAACAAAAGTGACTCCAAATATAGTGTTTTACCTAGGACAGGAGTTCGCGCCGGCGATTTGGAGTTTTTCCGGATTTCAAAACAGAGGTCGTGGGTCCCGTGGAGCCGGTTGACCCGATTTGGGAAGTTTGACCGCCTGGTTGACCGAGTGTCTCCCGAGGCTTTTCCATCGTCCGATTTGGGTAGTTGGACCTTAGAACGTCTCATTCCGCATACACTCACTAGAAACCCGGGAAACTAGGTTTTTAATTCAAAATTCTGTTTCGAAGCGCTTGATGTTAATCGCGTGTTCGTATTCTGAAATAGGTACTCCGACCACGCATACGCAGCAGTCGGGACCCTCTCAGGGTCAAGCAGCGTGAGACTACTTGTGAGTGGACTTTGTTTTTAAATAATATGCATGGTTTTATGATGGGAAAATTTATGCATAATGTTTAATGGTATATTTGGATATATTATTTATTTATTCAATGGTGGAAATTGATATTTTTATGAAGCATTGGCATGTATTTTGGATTTTGATATATTTGAGTATCTTGAGTATATATATATTTGGATTTTGAGAATCTCTATATATGTTTGGCTATGTGTGGGGTACTTGGGTTGTTAAAATGAGTTTGTGGAAAAGGTTGAGTATTGAAATATCTGTTTGGAATGCTTTAAGCACTACCCTATGTACCTCCCCGGATTTGGAACTTGGTTACTGATACTTGAGATACTTGGAATTGTTAGAACCCGGGACATCCTTGATGGGATGTTGCTGTAGACCTTGGATTTGGGGTAGTCTGCGCGCGTAGGACTGGTTTTTCAGGCGTACAAGCTTAGAGTGTCTCGGTTGTACGTGCTGGCTGAGAGTTAGTCCCCTAGTTGGACGGCTCGTTCCCTAATCACATGGTGAATTGAGGAATGGCTCTGCCATGTTGACTACTCAAACAATCCCCCGGTTGGATTGTTTCCGCAGTACAACTAAATGTTGGTTATATTTATATATATATATATATTTTATTATTATTATTATATTATATTATATATATATATATATGAATAGTCATTCGTTCTTGTTTCTCGGTAAGGATACTTCCTCGCCGGTCGTGCCAGTGGGTACGTTTTCGAGAGTTTAATCTTTCGGGACTTTTAAGTTTTGAATGGTGGGTTTGTGAAGTGTTGTTCACGAATTTCGGACTTGGTATCCGGTATTATTTTAGTATATGTTTATATACTTGCTTATGACGATTTTAAGATGCATTTGGAATTCTTGCATGATTTTCTCACGGTGGGGTTATATTACATTGATTTATTTGAACTGAACTTTATTTTTTTTGTCCACTCACAATTTTCTGTTTTGCACCCCCCAGCCAGTAGTGACTAAGCTCCGCAGTCGAGCCGGATCGGGTGCTTCCGAACCTTGAGTCTTTGTAGGGACTCCTTCATCTTTCTTTTCCAGTGGAACTCTGTTTCTGTTGTATTTGAATTTCTTAGATATGCTCTGTATCGCCCGCTTAGGGTTTGAATTGTGAGGCTGGAGGCCTTTGTTGGAAACTGTTTTTACTGCTTTTAAAGCACGCTGCTGGTTGGGTTTATTAACTGTAAATTTTGTGCATGTTGAAGTTTGGGAATGTTCAATTTACAGGGGAGATTCTGTCTTTTTTTTTTTTTTTTTTTTTTTTTTTAGAGAAGTCTCGGTCTTTAGTAAGTGGGCCCGGCATCGGGATGATGTCGGTAATTAGGCGGGGTCCGTCCCGGTTTCCGAGGAAATTTGGGGCGGGTCTTGTCATCCTCTTTGATGATCACCTCAAGAAATTTAACTAATAATATATTTTTTTGGTGTGCATACATTTTTGCATTAACAACACAAAAAGTAATGGGTTAATTTAAATGGTTCGTATAATTGAAACTCAAGAACTAATAATATGGTCAGTACTTGTAGACGTGGGCCTTGTTGATTTTGGGCCTTACAACTCTGGTCACTTAATTTTATTTGAAAAATGCTTTTGTAGAAAGTATATAGAAAATTTGTTTAGGAAGCACTTCTTATGATAAATATTTTTATTATAAGCATATGTAAATTTTATTAAAAATTCAAGTGCTTTATCTTTATGGTTGAAAGAAGTAATTGGAACTACTTTATAGGCAATTAGCGCTTAATTTTATTTATTTATTTTTTATGTCAAACAATGCAAAAACGCGTTTTTGTTTGATTATCTAAAAGCATTTCCAAACTAACTCTTTTCATACCTTATGATTTGCTCCAATTGTACCTCCATTGGCGGATCCAGGATTGAAAAGCCAGTTGGGCGGAATTTACATTACTAAACTCGACGGTACGAGTAAATTTCATTAATAATAAAAAAAAGATACACCTAGTCAGGGGGGACGTAATAAGCCTTACCCTCAAATACATCTATACATAAATAAAAGCTTAAAAACAAAAAAAAAAAAAAAAAAAAACAAAAAAATGTAATACAAAACATCACTAGTTAAATCTAAAATTTTACCCTGCGAGACTTAGAAATCTTAAATTCCTCATTTATCGATGCATTAGTGATACTATTAGCAAACTCTCTTTCAATGTGAAGGGTCATGCAATCAGCAAGAAACTCATCAGCTATGGTGCTTCGAACCCGGTTCTTAATAATTCTCATACATGAAAAAGCTCGTTCCGTTGTTGCTGTAGAAACGGGAAGAGTCAACACCAACCGAATCAACCTGTTGATCAAACAATAGTTCTCTACCAAACTTGTTTCAACTAATTGTTGACATAAATGAGGAAGAGTGTTGGTTTCCTTAAAGCAAGGAAGGCGATGTACATCATTTTGAAAATACCTCAACTCTATTTCCAAATCTTTCAACTCATTTGGAAGGAAATCAGCAGGATAGAATTTCTCAGCAAGTTTACATATATGCTCAATATTAAATGACTTGAATGAATTGCGAGGATCCAATGCTGAGCTAAGAATAAGAAGTTCAACTGTTTGCTCTGGAAATCTGTCATTTAACTCCCTTAACATGCAATCTATAACATCATTGAATACATCAACGCGATAGTAATGCTCAAATGTAATAAAATCTTTTTGTTGACAAGAATAATGTGTGCCCGTCATATAACGAGCACTCATATCAGGAACATCAACACCATGTAGTTCACAAAATGATACCACACTACAGAATAAATCATCCCAATCATGTACCCTCATATCTTGAAGCTGCATTTTTGTGTTTTCAACAAAATTTAAAGCACTTACAATGTCTTGAGTTTTGACCTGAAATACTTGACAAAGAAAATTGGTCAATCCCATAATTTTATCCATCAAAACCAATGAAAACACAAACTCAAAAGACATCATAGCAATATAGTTACTCTCAGCATCTCCACGAAATTGTTGGTTTGGTCCATGATCACTGATTTCTTGAAGAAGTAATTTAGTCTCTTTAAATAAACACATCAAACTTGTAATAGAGGCATAATGAAAGCCCCAACGAGTGGCTCCAGCTCGTTTCAAACTACGAGCTTGATTAAGTCCTCTACCTGTCTCAAGTTCTCCAGAATCCAACAACTCATTGAGTTCAACTTTTCTAATTAAGTTTAACTCACTACGGCGCTTAGCAGAAGCACTAACAAAATTCACAATGTTAGTCAACATTGAAAAAAACCTCCACAAAACTTTCACATCTTTAGCTGCACCATTTAATGCCAATTGCAAGCGATGGGCAAAGCAATGCACATAATATGCATATGGACAATCTTGAAGAAATAATGCTTGTAAGCCATTCCATGAACCACGCATATTGCTAGCACCATCATACCCTTGACCACGCATGTTTTCCACTAGAATGTCGTTATTACCAAGCACTTTGCATATCTCTTTTTTAAGAGTCAAGGCATTAGTGTCTACAACACTCACAATATCGAAGAAGCGCTCACGAATAAATCCATCACAATCAACAAATCTTAGAATAATAGCCATTTGTTCCTTACCGGATTCATCAAGTGATTCATCAACTAAAAGACAAAATTTGTTCTTCCCAAGTTCCTTACAAATTGTCTTCCTCACCTTGTTAGCAAAAATATGTAAGATTTGCTTTTGTATGTCATGCACAATGTATTGAGCATTTTGAGGAGCCTTATCAAGGACAACTTTCTCAACTTCTATATTCGTTCTTGCAAAAGACTTTATGATTTCAATGAAATTGCCCCGATTAGATGAGTCAACGGATTCATCGTGGCCCCGAAAAGCCAATGCTTGATTCGCTAGATACCTAATGCCCTCTATTGTGGTCGTAAGTCGCAACCGATTTTCCATCACTTGTTGCTTTGATTGCTTCTCTACCACTTTTTCAATATGAAGAGATGGAGTTTTTAAGCTAATCCACTTTTGCATAGCAAGATGATGTGGTGAATTTAACTTGCCTATATGATGTTGAAATGCACATTGATTCCCACCAATTGTCTTCCATTTTTGATACCCATCAACAATAAAGGTTGGATGTGACTGATTCATGTCAAAAATGAAGCAAGGAAAACAAAATACCTTATTCTTAGCAACTGAATACTCAAGCCAAGTGAATTGACCAAACCACTTTTTATTAAATCGACGAAAGTCCCGCCCTTCTAAGTGGCTTGGATAATCTTCTAACTCAGGTTGACATGGTCCTAAAAGAATATATGCTTTTCGCACATTATCTTGTTCATTCACCGGATATGTGCATATTAGACGACGTAATCCCGGATCACGCTCAAGATAATTGATATTAAAATCATGATAATCATCGACTCTTTCAGATTCAATTCTTTCAACTTGAGGCTTGATAATAGGAGACTCGGGAAGATTTTGCTCATCACATATTGGAATAGATAAAGAAGAGCTAGAAGGCAATGTACTAGATGATGACCCATCATTCTTTTTCTTAAAAAAAGAGAACAAGTTTTTTGTTCTCTTGGGATTCCGATTGTGATCCGACATAATCAAAGATAACCTATGAATAACATGTAAAATAAATAATTTAAATCAAACATACCAACAAAAAATCAAACAAATTCTAATAATAATAGAATCTCAACAATATCAACAAAGAACAAATCAAACATTGAAACATCTCAACAAAATTCCTACAATCAAAGCCCTAATTAATTTCAACAAAATCACAAAATTATAATTCAATATCTAAGTAAACCCTAGAATATTGAATTTTAAATTAAAACTATAATTAAAGACATATAGAAAATGAGAGAATTAGAAATTACTTGTTGTTGTAGAAAGAAGAGGACAAGATTTTGCCAAGTTGCCCACTGCCCAGCCAATATAATAGGAAGATGCAGAAAATAAAAAAGGAAAAAGGAAGCTGTTGTTGTCGTTGGGGTCTGTAGAATGGAAGAGAGAAAAGCTGCGCCAAAAGAAAGAGACAAAGGCTGGGACCACTTTGAAGTTGGATGGGCGTGTGTGTACATTGGGTTAGCTTTTTAAATTTTTAAAGTTGGGCTGCCCATATAACATATATAGGTTTTTAAATAATAATAAAAACTTTGGATGGGCGGGCACCCACCCTGCCCTTTACACAGATCCGCCTCCATAGACGTCGGGTGAATGATGATTTGCGCCAATTATGCCTCCATGACTTACTATTATGCCTTCATGACTTACTATGCGTCAATTTTCCACAAACAAAACAAAATATCAACTTAATAGTATTCGGCTACGTACGTGCCTGGAAATTTCGCTGCCTTCCCAATTCCGCTAATAACATGAACACTGTGTTCACATGCAAACACGCTGATCATCTTCTATATAAACCCACGATCGTATGCTTTGCTTCTTCACACCTAGCTAAGCTTTCCAATATCACTACTTAAAACCTAAGCCAATATTCCTTTGCGAACAATGGCTTTTGAGAAAAACCTTGTGGTCATCAATAATTTGGCAGGGAAGGCATCAATAATTTGCTCAACCACAAATACACACATCATCATCCCTTTAGAGTCTACCATTTGCAATAAAAGGAACGTTGGAAGCTTGCATTGCACCACCACCAGTTTTGCAAATCTGAGTTAGACAGCAACTGCAACGATTCAGGATTCTTGAACATCAAATTCACATCAAGGACTGGATTGTTCTAGTAGCTCGATGTGAAAGTTTGATGACCAAATTAATCCACAATTCTAGACGAACACGGTATCGAATTAAGGATTGGGGATTTGAAAAACTTGGTAGAGTTTTTTGTCATATCTCAAAAATTAATGAAGATGACAATAAGTAAAGCTTGGCTGCATGCATGCTGAGCCCCACCTGGATTTGGAGTTCTTCGCATACAAATTGTTAGAACTTGGCTGCATGCTCAAGTTGGACTTCTTAATTTTCCACAAGACAACATATCAATTCCTGACTAACCAATGCTTGGCTGCATGCATGCTGATCATCTTCTATTCCTGCCCCACTGCTAGTCTTACAAATCTGAGTTACACGGTATATTAATTAGCATCCTTACTTGAACATCAAATTCACGTCAGGGATTGGATTATTCTGGCTCGATTTTCAAAATTTTAAAACTCTGGTCACTTAATTTTATTTGAAAAATGCTTTTGTAGAAAGTATATAGAATATTTGTTTAGGAAGCACTTCTGATGATAAATATTTTTATTATAAGCATATGTAAATTTTATTAAAAATTCAAGTGCTTTATCTTTATGGTTGAAAAAAGTAATTGGAACTACTTTTATAGGCAATTAGCACTTTTTTTTAAATTTTATTTATTTAATGTCGAACAACGCAAAAACGCGCTTTTGTTTGATTACCAAAAAGAATTTCCAAACTGGCCATGCTTAGCTAAGACTCTTTTCATACATTATGATTTGCTCCAATTGCACCTCCATAGACGTCGGGTGAATGATGATTTGCGCCAATTATGCCTCCATGACTTACTATTATGCCTTCATGACTTACTATGCGTCAATTTTCCACAAACAAAACAAAATATCAACTTAATAGTATTCGGCTACGTACGTGCCTGGAAATTTCGCTGCCTTCCCAATTCCGCTAATAACATGAACACTGTGTTCACATGCAAACACGCTGATCATCTTCTATATAAACCCACGATCGTATGCTTTGCTTCTTCACACCTAGCTAAGCTTTCCAATATCACTACTTAAAACCTAAGCCAATATTCCCTTGCGAACAATGGCTTTTGAGAAAAACCTTGTGGTCATTGCCATATTCATCGTCTTGGGGACTTTGGCATCTCAAGCCACATCCCGCACACTGTCCGAAGCTTCCTTTGCTGCAAAACATGATCAATGGATGACAAAGTATGACCGTGTTTATGAGGACAATGCAGAGAAGGAAAGGCGTTTCGCCATATTCAAGAAGAACTTGCAGTTTGTGGAGAAGTTCAACTCTGAAGGGAACAAGACTTACAAGTTAGGACTGAATGAACATTCTGATTTGAGCGATGAAGAATTCCTCCGGCAGCGTACTGGATACAAAAGGGCCACTGAATTAACCTCATCCGCAAACATATCTTTCAGGTACAAAGACCTCAGCCCGACTGATGTTCCGCCTAGCATTGACTGGAGGGAGAAAGGAGCTGTCACCCCCATAAAGAATCAATTAAACTGTGGTAATTAAGAGATCCACCTTCCTTATATTAATTACCTTCTTAACTCATCCATATTCTTTACTAAGTATTGATGTTTTTGTTTTTGTATTATATATGTAGGCTGTTGCTGGGCATTTTCTACAGTGGCAGCAGTGGAAGGGATTAACCAAATCAAAACTGGGGAACTGATCTCACTGTCCGAGCAACAACTTCTGGACTGTACCAGCGACTATGGCAACCAAGGCTGCGATGGTGGTCTCATGACTAATTCCTTTAAATACATCCAAGAAAACGGAGGAATTGCCAGCGAAGAAAACTACCCGTACCAGGCTGTGAATGGAACATGTAACGCTAATCAGCCTGCTGTCCAGATCACTGGTTATGAACAGGTGCCTGCCAATAGTGAAGAAGACCTACTCAAGGCTGTGTCCAGGCAGCCAGTCTCAATAACCATCGATAGTTCCGGGGCGGAGTTTAAGAATTACCAAAGTGGGGTCTTCTCGCCCACAGATTGTGGGACGAAAACGACCCATGCTGTTACCGTCGTTGGGTACGGGATGACTGAGGACGGCATTAAGTATTGGTTACTCAAGAATCAATGGGGTGAAAGCTGGGGTGAAAATGGCTATATGAAAATTCTTAGGGATGCTGGTGCCCCAGAAGGTGTCTGTGGCCTTGCTCAGTATGCTTCCTATCCGGCTGCATAATCTATATATATTATATAGGCTATTATGGAATCCATATCGAAGTGAATGTATTATCAATGGCTGTGAAAATGCCTATATGGTTTAATGTTCTCTATAATTCCTCTACTTGATGAAATTGAGACTCAAGAACTAATAACATGGGTTACTACTTGTACTCCTATTCATTCCGCCAAACTGCCCAAAGTCTTATTATGCATAAATTACGATGGATTACAGGACCGACGACCTCAAAAGTCTCATTGGTCTTTGCCGAATAGAAAAAAATAACAAATCAAGTCTCATTGAGGAAATGGCTATATGAAAACGACCCATGCTGTTACCGTCGTTGGGTACGGGATGACTGAGGACGGCATTAAGTATTGGTTACTCAAGAATCAATGGGGTGAGAGCTGGGGTGAAAATGGCTATATGAAAATTCTTAGGCTATAGAATCCGACTGGCTAGCTATCCGACTGCGTAATCTATATATATTTATATAGGCTATAGAATCCATATCTAAGTGAGTGTATTATCATTAATGATTGGCTGTGAAAATGCCCGTATCGGCTTAATACATGCAATTAGTCGCCAGGTTTCTCTGGAGCCCTTGTTAAAAGTGTGTTTTTGTGTCCTTTTACTTAGTAATCTATGTATGTAGTGCATTAGATTGATACAGTACGTAATATGTAATGCGATAAATAACACTACTGCATAAGTTGGTATTCAAAAATTGGTGTATAATGTAATAAGTCCACAACAAATATTTATAAATTCATCAAACATCAGTCATGATACTAGTTTTTTTTTCTTTTCTACACACATCATCATCCCTTTAGAGGCCTACCATTTGCAACAAAATGAACGTTGGAAGCTTGCATTGCAGCACCACTAGTTTTGCAAATCTGAGTTAGACAGCAACTGCAACGATTTAGCATTCTTGAACATCAAATTCACATCAAGGACTGGATTGTGCTAGCTCCATGTGAAAGTTTGATGACCAAATTAATCCACAATTCTAGACCAACACGGTAGCGAATTAAGAATTCAGAAATTGTTAGGACTTGGCTGCATGCTCAAGTTGGACTTCTTAATTTTCCACAAGACAACATATCAACTTCTAGAAGGAACGTGCCTGAAATTTAGTTCCCTTCCCAATTCGGCCACTTACATCATCACTGTGTGCAGTGCACATGCAAACATATGCTGATCACCTTCTATATAACCCTCGATACTATTTGCCTGGACAAATATTGTATAATTTTGTTTTATTATTTGCTGTTTGAGTTGACTCATCATGCTCACTCGGCTTAGAAGACTATAGTCGTCCTTAATTATCTCGAATAAGTAGTAGGAGGGACCGGGACTAGGGCCAGGGCCAGACCAGCCAGGCTTTGTGAATTATGTATGTTAGCTTATTGTCATGTCATTATTCAATGTTTGATGATAGTTTGTTTGTACGATGATGTTGCATATGTTGGTAGGTACGGCTTTCTTCTTGTTGAAAATAACTAAGAAAAACAAGGGATAAAGAAGGCTAATATGGAAAAGTATGGCTCGACTGATTCCACCGACCTAGCAATGCACTGAAGACAGTGACCCATACCAGAGCCTGGATGGAACTTCTGGTCATGAAGAGAGGTGCCTCCCAATAGCGAAATCGACCTACTCAAGGCTGTATCCGCACA